TATCAAAGAGCAGGTGCATATATACAGAGACTTGATTACACACAGGTGCATTCTATTTATCATCATCAGTCATTTAGAACAACATTGGATCATTCAAAGATCCTCACTGAACTTCTGGAGTGAGTTTGCTGCACTGAAAGTAAAGGGGCCGAATAATATTGCACGCCCCACTTTTCAGTTTTTTATTTGTTAAAAAAGTTTGAATTATCCAATAAATTTCGTTCCACTTCATGATTGTGTCCCTTGTTGTTGATTCATGACATTTTTTTTTTAAATTTTATTTCTTTATGTTTGAAGCCTGAAATGTGGCAAAATTTTGAAAGGTTCAAGGGGGCCGAATACTTTCGCAAGGCACTGTATGTGTAGTCCTCTTCCTCTTCCCCCTGTTCCTCACTTTCTGCCGTCCAAAGCCTCCTTTTTTCTTCTCATTTGGCCATAAAGCCATTGCGCATATGTTGCAACACATCTTCTTGCCATTTTGAATATTTAATGTAATGTAAACAAGCGTTGTCAGTATGAAGGACAAGGTCATCTGCTTCCAGTTGACATGGGTTCCCGCTGTTTTTTTTTTTTTTAAGGCTGTTGCTATGGTGTTTTCTCGATTTGGGGTGATCGAACAAAAAAAACAGACAAAATTGATTTTGAAACCTTTAGTAGTTCTTTTTTTAATATGAAATGGTATTAACATTTTATTTTGAATAGATGCAAACCCTTCATATGGTCTTTATTTACCCAGAAACATTCCTTAAATTTACTTGAAATTTACCACCACTTTGCAACTTTAGTCATTCTCATGCCAGGGTCCAGAAGTGCTGTGAGCTAATCTCTACTGTACACGTATTGAAACAACGCTTTCTCAAACTGAACCAGGCTCTCAGGCTGATCACAAAGAGCCTCTGTTGTTCCTGCTGCTGCTGTAGGCTGACCACAGTGACCAGTGCTTTAGTTCACAGATGTTTCCAAAGCCTACAAGCTGATGACATGGGATTAACACACTGGAGGTATCTGTGTACGTACCGGTCAAAAGTAATACATGCATACATACAATACAAAAAAAGACAAATCAGAGGAATTAATATACGTCAATAATGTCAATAATTGTGGATTGTTAAGAAAAAAAATAAGGAATAAAACAAGTAAATTATAAATTATAAATTACATTCAAATGTAAAACAATAACAGTAGGCATCTGGAATAGACAACACATCAATTTAAGTGAATGTAAAGTATAGCAATACGCAACACAAAAGCTTAAAGAATTAAAACAGGACGGTTTCAACCTGGATTTGAACGAAGGTTATACAATATTATCATGTTATAGATAATAAACATGGCACCTTTAGCATGTCAGCTTACATGTTTTTAATTGTATTGTACATTTTTTTGTTTAACACTAGAACTCTCAGAGATGTCATTCTAACTGTTCCCATTCAGACAAATGGAATTCTGATAAATTCCCCCCATAAAAATGTTTAGATTTCCACTAGATTTATTCATTCAGGTTGTTTCCTTTACTCACTTTTAACAAGGGCAAAAACTAGTAATTTCAACTGAAATACAGAAGAAAAGACTAATGCTAACATAGTGTGGTTATGGTAACTAGTTTTTGTTTTTTGGTGGTAGAACAAAATTTAAAAAGTAAAAGATAGTTACTCAAAAATAATGACGTATACATATACTGCGTAAAGGAACAGAAAAAGTCACAAAGTTATGAAGCCCAATAATGCACAGCTTAGTAATTCGTTTTCCAAAACTAAAAGTAGTCAAATGTACTTCTTTAGGAGTTCTACTGTTAACATGACAGCTAACAGGACCTGTCTGCCTTTGTTGTGCACTGCTGTACGCCACACGTTTCTTCTGTGTGGTGTGCGTGTTTCGACCTGATGCTAAAGAGCATGTCAGGCAGAGTTGTGTCATCACATCAAACGCAGCAGTTAAATGGTTTTAAACAGCAGCAGTAGGTTTGTTGTCTTCTACTGTTAGAGACATTTAATTAACGATTCCCTGTGTTGTTGCAATGTGGCACCGTCTCATTTCAGCAAAGGCTTGTAATGCATTATAAAGTGAACTCGAATATAATCCAAAAATGCTGGGGCATGCTGCTACATTTACAAAGGAAAGTTGCATCGTTTGTTTTGCTATGGCGCTGCAAGATTTATTGCAATTGAATGAACATTGCAATGTTCAATTAAATTCAATTAAATTCATCCATCCATCCATTTTCCTCCTCATCATCCATTGCCGACCCCAGGCCAGCTGGGAGACATAGGGCACAGTCACAAAGGTTTTTACAAACGAACTAGGCTGTGTGACCCGGATTGTCGCCACAGGGGTGTGAAGACGGCCCGCGGCCACATCTTTCAAACGTGCCAGACCAAATGCACTGAAGTACAACGCTCGGTCCAGCTGGTGGCACTAATACTAACTTCAGCGACTACCTCGTTGTCAGAGTTATGTTTTGAATGAATGAATAAAATAGAACGAGAAAATAAAAAGTGTAGCGTACGATCAGAGCGACTGGAGCCAGGCAGGATACAATTGTATGTTTGTCTGTTCTGGCGAAAAATAAAGTCTTATTCTTGAATGTCTGAAGTGTTAATGTAATAGCACGAGACTGTGACAGCAAGGGTCAGAACAGAAGGGTTATCCCCATAGGAAATGCTTCTCTTTGGCTAAGGAGCGACAAATCACAGCGTGACATGTCCTCTTTACCACAGCAACCGCATCCCTGCGTTCTTTGCACCGATTTGTTGTCCCGGTTTGTTGTTGCCAACAGGACTACATTGTCTGCAAACAGCAGAGATGAAATACTGTGGTCTCCAAAACGATCCCTCTCCGGCCGCTGGCTGATTTGACTCCAGTCGTACAGGGACTGGACGGTACTCATGGGCCAACTAATTTTCCAAATCCACAAATGTAGACAGGTTGGGCTAACTCCCATGAACCCTTGAGTATCCGATGAGGCGTATTGAGCTGGTTCTGTGTTCCGTTGCCGGGAGTAAAAACACACTGCTCCTTCCGAATCCGAGATTCAACCATCGGTCAAAGTCTCCTCTCCAGTACATTGGAGTAGATCTAACCAGGGAGGCTGAGGAGTGTGATCCCACCATAATTTGAACACACCCTCCGGTCCCCCTTCTTGTAGAGAGGGACCACTACCCCGGTCTGCCACTCCATTGGCACTGCTCCTGATAGCCCCACACAATGCTGCAGAAACATCAGCCAAGACAGTCCTACAACATCCATAGACTTTAGATAGTCAGGACGGATCTTATCCACTCCCGGAGCCTTGCCACCAAGGGGGCTGCCAACCACCTTTGTGACTTCTTCCAAGAAGAGAATGTATTCGCCACAACATCCTCAGCCCCTGCCTCCGGAACGGAGGATGTGACGGGGGGATTGAGGAGAATCTCGAGGTATTCCTTCCACTGCCCAACAATATCCCCTGTCGATGTAAGCAACTCTCCACCAGCACTGTGGTGATGATCCAGGACACTTTAACATTCTACAACATGTATGGACATTTTTCAACATGTGTTCTATATTCTTTTTGTGTTTTAACTGTTGATTCTCTGATCTGTGTTGGTGATTCAATGGTTTTGTTAAGTCCTCTGAGATGACTTCTGTTGTGATTTAGCGCTATACAAGAATAAATTGTATTGTATTGTATTGTACTGTACACGGTGTTGGCAAAGAACTGCTTACCCCTCCAGAAGCACCAGACAGTTTGCCAGAATCTCTTCGAGGCAGAAAGGTCAGAACATGACAACAAAGTCAATCATCGACTTCCGGCCTAGGGTGTCCTGGTACCACGTGCACAGGTAGACACCCTTGTGCTCGAACATGGTGTTCGTGATGGACAAACTGTGACTAGCACAGAAGTCCGAACACTGCTCAGGTTCAGATCAGGGCGCCGTTCTTCTCGATCACCCCTCTCCAAGTGTCACTGGCATTTCCCACATGTGCGTTGAAGTCCCCCAGGAGCATAATGGAGTCCCCTGTCGGTGCAATATCTAATTCCCCCCAAACGACTCCAACTAGGCCGGGTACTCTGCACTGCTGTTAGGCTCGTTGGCCGTCACAACAGTGAGAGACTTGTCCCCCACCCGGAGGCGGAGGGATGCGACCCTCTCATTCACATGGGTAGAACACGTGGCGGCTGAGATGGGGGGCTATGAGTATGGCCACACCCGCTTGCCGCCTCTCCCCGCGCAAAACGCCAGAAAGTGGAGTGTCCAATCCCTCTCAAGGAGTTGGGTTCCAGAGCCCAAACTATGTGTGGAGGTTTCTCTCAACCTTCCCCATGAGCTCAGGCTCCTTCCCTCTTAGTGAGTTGACTGGATGGTGGGTTCACAGGAGGGCCTGCCCTCATTGTTAATTTTGTATTGCTCTAAATCACAACAGTAATATGTGAGGACTATACAATACAGTTTAGTTTGCTAACACAGATCAGAGAATCAAATTGTTCACACACAAGAAATGTAACAACAAAAACACACATGAAGCCATTGGTCCATAAGGGGCAGATGACCAATGTCAATAAATACTAATAAAGTCCATACATGTTGTTGGATGTCGAGTGCACTGGATCATCAACACTGTGAAAACCCATCTCTAAGATTCCTTGGTAACCATACCTTACAGCTGCAGTCTGGCCAATCGCTGTCAGTTAAATCACTTTAGTACCAGCTTGGCCTGGATAGAACCACGGCCAAATACAAGTCCCTTGAAACGGTTAAACAGGGCCGGTGGAAATGCTCCCGATCAGGGTAGAGTAGAGCTGAGTTGGGCCAAGTCGGGCTAATGGAAAGAAGGCTGAAGCTTTATTGAAATATGATTTATATAATAACCAGGAGTGATATTTTTTTCTCTCCCTTAAGTTTCCCAGCGCAAAATGTGTTCCTATGACAGTGCCATTCAATCATCTTGTCATTCTGTGGGATGTATCTGACGTATATAAGAAAGACCTATCTTGTAACCTGGTTTTATCCCTCTTGCAGTGATCATGTCGACTGTGATGTCTGAGCAGCTCCAGAAGGAAGAAGATGCGGGAGAAGAGGAGGAGGAGGATGAAGAGCAGGGTGAAGAGTTCGTGTTTGAGGACAGCTCTGAGGAGGATAACCAACCAGAGGAGAGCAGAGGAAACGCAAAAGACATTGAACTCTCTGTGACCGCCGCAAAAATTGATGTGACGTCAATTTGCAATTCTCAAGCGCCTTCGGAAAATTACATCCAAGAGGTTTGCGACGCTGTTCCACCTGCTGGACAGGAGGGGGCGCCAGACAAAGATGTAGCAACCATTCCAGTCTCAGGTAACTACTTTATAACCTAATGGGAAGGTCAGTTACTTTTCATATTTTGAAGATGGAGAGAAGATCTAACGTTAGACGCCCCCACAGCTTCCTGATTGGATGTAAATAAATCAATACAACTGAAGCCCTTCACCATTGGTCTAATAAGATAAGGAAACCTCATGCATTCCTCCTTGTGAGTGCTCTTACGACTGTCCCAATGTTGTAAATACATACAGGACAGTAGTAAGAGCACACAGGGCGTAGTAATATAGTAAGTAATCTTTATTTATGTAGTGCATTTCACAGACCAAGGTCATTCAATATAGGGGTAGGCCTAAAATTCATATTCCCGTAAACGGTATATATTGCGGTATAATTTGGTGTGTGAATTTCAATATAGGTCTAGCATGTTCTTCCATAAAATAGTTAAGATTGTTACTTTTTTTAAATTTCAATTTTAGAGCTGGATAATGTTTATTTATTTGATAATTTTAGCATTTCCTTGACATTTAGTGTGTGACCTAGAGAGGGCGCCATAAAACCACCCATTTGTAAGTTCCATTGTTGCAATAATTGTAATAATTTATCCCGTTATCGTAGATTCATACATATTCAAGTCTCGTTGAAAACCTTTATTTATTAGTTAAACAAGTAAAGAACAGTGAATCTAATCAAGAATTGTGTTGGGCATGAAATGAGGCATGTGTTTGCCTCATTTCCGTGTGCCTGAACGCATCTGGACGCTAGCTCCACGGCTACTAAAAGTATTTTTTTCGCATAGCTTTTTTTCTGCGATTTCTTGTAATAAACCTTTTATAAATATGAGCACAAATCAATAATGTAATCTGTATATAACAACACAAACTGTTCACATGTTTATTTACACTTTTTGACATGTACAAACTAAACTTCTGGACGAATCCGGTTTCTGGGACGAATCCAGCAGCCACACTCCTCGTGGTTGTTGCCGGTCCCAGCAGGCCAAGCATGTTGCAATTTGATGACATAATGACCTATCGCAATATGCCGGTATAACAAAAATCTCTATCGTTGGCCAAATTTTTATCTCATACCGCTTATACCCTTTATATCGCCCAGCCCTAATTCAATATATACGTTTATAGTTTATAACCAAAGTGTAAATTATATACATATCTGGCAGGGTAATAAGTAGATTGCAGTATTTACTATTTACAGATAAGATAACCAGGCATTGCGGTTCTCATCGTACAGTCTGAGAGCAGCAGGAAGGAAAGACCTGCGGAACCTCACCTTGACACTGTAAGGGTCTATCATATTCTCTTCCAGATGCTGGTGGTGGCTATGCCAAAGGGAGGGACTGCTTCATATTATTTTTGAATAATAAACAATGGTATGAGACGGTCATATGCATTCCTATAAAATGAAATACAATTGAAGTTTCACTCGAGGGACAGTGTCTAATGTTTACTTTTCTCAAAATATTGAACAGAATATATTAATTCTAGACTTGATCGCTCATTCCTATCACCCCAATTATTTACAACAATGAGTTTAAAATGCTTTTTACATCTTTCAAATTCTAAAAAACGAGATGCAAGACTTCCAAATTACTAATTTGTCGAGGAGTGATCCATAGCGGAACAACTTTCAAAAGTTGTCGTTTAGTGCTGGTTTCCTCAAAGAGACGTTTGAACTCCTATCCAGAAGTCATTTTAAAATCTGAAAGAGATGGTGAGAGTTGCCTTCATAGGAGTAGTTACTGTAGCTTTGACTGCTTGATAATCAGATAACAGACATATGACGTGTTCTCTTTAGAATATCAGCTGCATCTTCTTTTGTTTTTTTGTTTATCTTGTTTGAGTGCTGTTTTCCTACTGTTCTGTAAAGTGTGCAGCAACTAGGGGTATCAGAATCGTATGATATGTTGCTATTGATGATATTTATTTCAATATTAAGGAGAGGCACACGGTATCGTGAAGTAGCTCACAATATCCAATCCATTCCAATCCAATCCACTTTATTTATATGGCACATTTTATAACACAAGCTTCCAAAGTGCTTGACAGAGATGAAAGCAAAGTAACACATACAGGTTTGCCAGCTGTATATGTATAACAATAGAATAAGTAACACATTATAATATGTAAAGTAAAAAACAAAACAAACAAATAAAACAATAAAATACCAGTTATCCATATACAAAATAAAACTAAGGATAAAAAAGCCAGAATATTTTTTGCTTCATTTATGGATCATGACTAATGCTGACTTAAATTCAGGAACAAAAATTATTTTTCTTTTTAACTGTTCACACTCAATTGGTGAAATACATGGGTTATGTTTTCGAGCAAAATGTTACAAATAGATACCTCAGTTTTTATTTTTATTTTTATTTATTTTTATGAATAAGAGCCATATATTGGATCTTTTTTGTTATACATATCGTTTGTTTAAAAACTCTTTTAGAAAAAAAAAAAATGATAAAGTGAGAGAAAAATTAAACAATATCTCCAGCTCCACATGGAAGCTTCCCCACTGTAGCAGGTTCTTTTATCTTTCATATTTAGGTTTTTTGTTTAACTACTTTGAAATATCAGGTACATGCTCTAAATCAAAGCAATCAGTGTCTTCCTCAGTTCCTTTTAACACAGGAACTTGCATAATTAACTTTTTATTTTAAATGCATGTGTCATTACTTTTCACTTCCTTTTCTCTAGACAAAAAACCTATCCAGCTTTTGAACACGAGGCTACAAACCATAAATGGCTTGCGGTCCAATATTTGTACTTGTTTTAGGCCATACGGCAGTGGTATGGTTTATTTTATTTATTAATTTTTCCCCTACAACATTTTGGATGCTGAGAGCGAGGAAGCTGTACTGTCTGGAGGTCACATTCAACACTGACCACAAAAGGTAATGGGTTACGTTCCTGTTGAAGAATTCTATGTCAGTTGCAGAGCTACAGGAAAGAAAACATTATTGAGAGCAATATTAAAAAGACACAAAAGAACTGTCTAAATGTATTCCTAATCTTTGTTTCATTATGGATTCATTTAAAATAAATCCAAAAGTCCTAGAAAAGCAAGCCTGAACAATTGAGTCTGTAATGAGTGAGTAGTGAGTCTTTGAATGACTGTGGATTTCAAGATTTTGAGTGCCAGAATCATGGAATGTATTCATTTATGAAGGAATATAGGATGATTTTCTCAAATTTTAGGAAAGAACCGCCCCCTCCACTTTTTGAACAAAACTCTCTGGTCTTATTTGAAGAGCATGCATCGCCAGAATGATTGACAATTAGACGGATGAATAGTCCTGATGATTCACCTTTAGAAAATCCTCCTATACCTTTAAGCCACCTACCAAATTTTCCAGACTGTAAGTTGCTAGTTTCTTCTGTTTTTTTTTTTTTTTTAACCCTGCAGCTGTTATGTGTATTTTTATTGTATTGTGATAGAGTTGACAGAGCAGAGTTTATGGACTATTTTGACTCCATCAAGTTTTTGTAGCTATAGAACATTGTCAAAACAGATGAAGGTGATTGAGTACTGACACAGGTATAGGCACCTCATCCTTAGATCATGTTAAGCAGTTAAAACAGTTGTCTATCTGCGACTTATATTCAAATGCGGCCTATATATGGAGAAAATAAATTGTCTTTCCAAATGTACACAAAAAGTGTTTCTTAGACCAGAATTAATAATTGATTGATTTTATTAACATTTTTGTGTTAATTCAAAGCAAAACTATAACTTCCACCCAAAGGAAACCTACTCCAAAACGCCACCCAGAAAGGCTCTGTTCCGACCAGTGTACAGCAATCCATGACCTTGGATTGCTGTATTCTTATGAGTGGTCACTTCTGTGGAGAGAGTGTTAACCACTCAGCCATTGCTTGATTAAAGCAAAGTATAACATGTAAGCACATTGACCCTTGTCTAGTATTTAAATAGAGCAGAGCAGTTCCTGTGGAGTTTCGTGGGCCAGACTGAAATGTATCAACATATCTTGCAGAGCTGCTGAGAACAGGGATTTTTTGGCTGGAAACTAACTTCTCTATTATTTTAGCAATAAAAATATAGTTTTGAATTTAGCCTGTTGTTGACGGGGGTGTGGGGATACAGAGTGCATTTTGAGTAAGGGATGAATGATTGCATGTTTTTAATGTGAGAGAAAATATCCAGAGACAAGGAACAAATTAATAATATGGAGTAAAGCAGGTTTAATTGACTGCCATAACGTCACTGCATAAAATGATAAAATATGAGGCAATAATTTCTGTAATCCAGTGATTTTTATCTTAATTTTTAGTACATTTTGACTGTTTTGAAACAAGATTTGCTATTGGGACAAAGCCATTTATTCTTTTTTCATGAACTGTTGCTTTATTTTCCCATTCAAAGGAGACAATTCTTGTATATTTTTAAAACAAGATCATGTTTCTTGTCCTATTGGCAAATGGTAGAAAGGTGCAGGCTTAATTTTTAGGATTATTTTTGACATGTTTGTCAAGAAGCAAGTCGGCAAAATATCATTAGGGCCAGATGAAGTCATCAAGTGTCTGATACGCTCATTAAGATTGTGCAAGGATAAAGTAAAAAATCTCAAGAATAGATTTGCATATGGAGTCAATTGGTGAAATGATTGCACTAATGTTGGCCCTCACAACAGTGACTTTTTTCACTCTCTTCGGGAGACAGAATAGGAGATGAGATCAATGTGATACTAGAATGTTTGTTGTCAAACACAACTTAGGGGTTTTGTTTGATTGTAGAATTGAGCTCTCTAAATTTCGCTGCCTCTGCTTCATCAACGGCAAAGTTATAATTCAAACAGAACTTTAAAATTCAGGCGACGGTTGTGAAGCCTGTGAGATTTCCTTAGCGTTTGGCGCATCTGCATTTGTGCTTCAAGTCACGGATAGTGTTAATAATCCATGGCTCTATTCTGACACCAGAATTTGTTGTACATAGTTTTACATTTCTGAGCACCATGTCCGTGACTGCTGTTAAAGATCATTGTTTGGCCATATCAGCCAGCCCAAGTTTGGTTGGGTGTGGCTTGAATGGAATTACAGTAGGTCCTTAAACGCGTAAATAGCACGAGACTCACGTGTGAAACACGCGTCTTTTATTTTTTTTTCCCCCAGTGATGCTGCAATGACCCAAACAACCACCAGGTGGCACTTGTGAGCAGTGCCACCTTGAGCTTTATGACACCCTGTCATAAAGCTCAAGTCTTTGGCGCAGGAGGACCTGGGTTCGAGTACAAGTTAAAGACTTTTGATACAACTCCACAATCAGCACCAAGTTATGAAGATAAAATTATTCCACTTTTGTACTGGCTTTTTATCTTTGCAGGGTTAGGAACATTGTCGGAAAATCTTCTGCTTTTAACCTCTTAACTCCCACATGAACCGAGCACGTCTTAAAAAAAAAAACTTAGTAATTAGGCCAACACATTTAAAATAGTTGCTAGACTGTAGTAAACTGTTGTAAACTTCACAATCTGCACCAACCAAACTGCAGGAAAAAAATGCAACTTTATTCAGTAACGGAGTAATCTGATTCATATACTCCCCCCGCTAATAAAATTTGAGGATTGGCTGGGGCTCGAACCCCGATCGTCCAAGCGAAAGTCTTGGACAATCCTGCTACGCCACACAGGCGCCGAAAAAAACCCTGGATCTAATAGGATAAACGGCTGAGTGAATGAGCTGTGCGTATGTGCGGGACGCTTAAAATGCCTTATATGCAAGTTAATGCAAATGTTTGCCATATGATCTGCTACTCCTGTGCATTTTAGAATTCCTAATTAATGGTAGCTATATGTAACATGTGTAGTTTACATTTTTGTAATTATACACAGCCTATATATTGCTAATCAAAGTAAAAGTATTCAGAATACAGTGTACACTCGTGTTTGTTTTGTTCCAATGTTTCACGTTCAATAACGCACTTGCTGCTGGCTATCCCATACTGTAGAAGAAGTCAGAAAGGAACTTTGGAGAAGAAGTGTTTTTATTAAAAAATAAGAAGTAAAAATAAGTAATAAAGTAAAATACAATTGTTACAGTACTTACAATACAGTGCAGTAAGTTAGTACAGTGTTTTACAGAGTCAATCCTTTGACTTTAAACCGCGTTTTGATAGGCCCGAAGTGAGCAACAAATCCTTTTGACAAGGAAAGAAGATAACAAGCTGATAAACCAACCAAAAGGTGTGCAACCAAAATTGCCTCAGACAAGAATCGAACCCAGATTCCCCAGGTCCTAACCTGCAATGCTAACCATTTGGCCAACATAGTATCCCTAGGCTCATAATGTTTGCACGCAGACTTATACCTGAGCGTTTAAGTCGCTGGCAGAGCTAAAGCGGACTTAACCTGCCACCTTGTGGCGATAAGATGTAATATGTTTCACGCAGCTGCGTGATTCATGAAAAGCGTGAGTGAAGACGACAAAACGAAATGGGACCTACTGTAGAGAAATTAACTAACCAAATTAACACTAGAATCTTTAGGCAGTTACCATCTTTTTTTTGACTCCCCTCCACCCCACTTAAAAACTCTTTGGAAGCCACTTTTCCACTATAACTCAAAATATATCCGGGTTGTGCATACAACTAAGGGGTTTCAGCTTCACCTTCTTATTGTTCCGTGATAATTTATGATTTTAAGTGTGTCAGTAAGTAAGTAATGTTTCTTTATATAGCGCATTTCACAGACCAAGGTCACTCAATGCGCTTTACAATGTCAGAGTTCAGATTGTTTTATTCTCTCCACACGGTGATGGCGGAAGCAAGACTCCGAACACACTGGCACATCAAACCCCCAAACAACACCATTCATTCAATCTCACTCTTTTCTTTCTGTGTGTATGAATTGTGCTATACAAAAAAAACTTGCTTAGCCTAGATACAGAATCTTCTTAACTTGAAGCAATGACATTTTATTTACATTTACATTTTAACATGTCATTTTAATTGATGAACTCCACTGGGGTTTTTTAGATTGATGATAGTAAATATTGACTTTTTAATAGGATTGGTTGCTTTTCATCTTCTATTTAACAAGACCTAATCGGCGCCCTCATAAGAAGGACACGTTTATCAATGCACTTCCTCACCATCGAGATGCGTGGTGTATATTTAGCCGTGATGTATGATTCACCAAGCTAATTTTGTTCAACAGGCTGACCAAGTTAAAGCTATAGGGCCCAACATTGGACAAAGTGAAGTGATTAGAGCTTAATTAAATGGCTTTTCCCAACAAGTCTGAATGTGTTAATCCGTTAAGTGGGCTGTGGGGATGTGAGTGGGGATCCTGGGGGTTGATAATAGCATGTAGTGGAGTTTGTTATGTAAGTGAGGGCAGCTCAGTAACAGAGCAGGGAATTGGGTCCCTCCCTCACCAGATGACATTAGTTTATATAGAGGCTCTCTGAGAAAATCGATCATGGCGTTTTGTTAAACAGCCCTTTCCTTGTCCTCCCAATAGAGCAGCTTTATAAATGCTGCTGTACACTCCGCTCCAACAATGACTTTGCCTTTTGGACGATGAGATTTTTTGCTGTTTGTTGTGTTTTATCAGCAAGTTATAAGTGATAAGATAAGATAAGCCTTTATTTGTCCTACAGTGGGGGAATTTCAATGTCACTGTTGCTCACATTACAGAAGAGAAAAAGGAGGAAATAAGAGCTCTCAGGTTGCACACATCAAACAAGATCTATTATTGAACTCAGGTGCTATCCTCAGGTCAAATGGACCTGCCACAGTGATTAGAAAAATATTTAAATATATTTTTTTTTAGCTGAATTTTGATGACTTGACCTGAGGGTAGCACAATGGTTGAGATAAAACTCTGGAGCTATGTTATATTGTAGTTTATCAGCAGAGAATATGACCTGAATAAACAAGAGTAATAATAGCAGCAGGTAAAGTGACTAGTGAATTATTAGAACAGAATTAACTGATGAATGGAATATGTAGTAATAAGAGATACTTTATTTGTCCCACATAGGGGAAAATTTCTAATATAGCAAGTAAGCAAAGTCTCTTTACCTGACCTCCCGATCTGTGAAGTAATTTATTTTCCCTCTTTGCTGTTTGCAGTAGAAAAGCAGCTATTTGCGATTGATGTCAACGCATCACAAAAATCCAATTATATGACACTAGTTTATGTTTTCGTTCATTACTTTGTATGTTTTAAGGCTACTTTTGCCCCACATTTTCATATTCATGAATTGTTTATGCTCTTACTTGGCAAATAGCAAGTTTGTTAATTTCACTCTCACACAGATTGAAAATATGTAAGGTTGTTACAAGTTAATCAATTAATCTATTTCAATTAAATGATAATCTAATTATTTTTCATTGTTCAACTAATGTAGTAATTGACAAATTGTTTAACCTTACTTTATAGATTAAGAGATCCGAGAGACAATTGGGAAATTTCATTGTTGCTTCATCAGTTACAGAACAGTAGGAATGAGCATCTTACAGCAAAAGAGTATATAATCTCTATATTTATTTATTTTATTTATTGTTTATTTGGTTAGGACAGTACACGTTAATGAACACATTTCTGCGGATTGTAGCCATGGGCTAATTTGCATCCGTTGTCCCGCATTCGTACTCACAAACACACACTCATTCACTCAGAACTATTGCACATGTTTTTAGTGGTAGGGGAAACTGGATTACCTGGAGGAAACCTACAAAGACACGGGGAGAACATACAAACTCCCTGTTCCGACCGGGATTCGAACCCAGAACCATCTTGCGGAGACGCAAGAGTGCTATCCACTCCGTGGAGTGGATAGTCGTACCGCCCATAGACTTAATAAAGATGGACTTAAACAGGGTGGTTTTATGACTCCGATAATTCTATGACTGCAGATTGAAATGTGTTTACAAAATATTTCTTAAAATAACCACATGTGCAATCAGTCATCTCTATGAAGATGTTCTCCAGGAGAAACCTTTGAGCTTTGTTTTGGTAAAATATTTAAAAATAATTCACATATTTACTGACCTTTCGGGATCTGAACAATCAATCGATTCATCGAAAGAATAATTGCCAACCAAACAATCCTTAAAAGTCATTAATGTTGTTCCTTGATTACACACAGCAAATGCAAATTGTGTACAAAATCTATTTGCAGACAGCTTTTGAAACTTCTCTTATAAATAAAGTTGTGTGTCTTTTTGGAGTTGAAAAGCCTTGTCTAATGACCACTGTTTTGCCTCATTTTGACAGATGTTCCAGTTAGTGAGTCACCCAGCTGGTAAGTTGCCTTCTAATTCCTCCTCCACAGTAATGTTGATGTAGAACCAATCCCTACATAGTATCCATCAGTGTTATGCCAGTGTTTTGTCATTATGTCTGAGGTAATGTCATGCTACACTCCTCCAAAAGCAGCACACCGATAGCACACACTCTGATGATGTGCCACATTTGCCAGATGGCATGTCACACCTCGAATGACAAGTGGAAGTTACAAACCAAACACAACAGTTCTGACAGAAATGGCTTCACTCCTGGTATATTTGAAATTTTGATTTGCCAATTACTTGTTATTTAAGCATTAGACTTGTTTTCTGTCTCATAAAACCTAGGTCTAGACTAGACCTGGGCAAAGTGCGGCCCTGGAGTCACATCTGGCCCGATTCACATTTCTATACAGCCAGTCTGTTGCTTATTTCAGTTAATCAGCAGTCCTTACTCAGAGATCTTTGTTTGTTAAATAATTAAAGCTAAAATATTTTTTTTAGCCTTTTGCTAAAATAACTAAGAAATTATCACTGAAATTAATGTGGCCCCCTGAAGAAAATAATTGCCCATCCCTGTACTAACTAAAAAACTTATCCCTGTACTAGATGTAGTCCAAATCTATTAACAGTGAAAGAGTTCACTTTTTAGTTTAGATCTAAACTAATCTCACATCTGCACTGAGCACTTGATGAGCCAGGTGCTGGAGCGCTTTGCAGAGATGTTTTTGTGTTGCGTGTGAAATCAAAAACATTCATATTTATTCCACTTTGCTTGGCATCTTGTTAGAGTCTGTTTGCGGCTTGCTGTGTGTGAGGCGTGCGCCGTGATGAAGTAGAGATGATTACGGAGAAGCCCACACCTGGCTTTGAGGAAGTGCGCTCAAATAACCAATGTTTGACTTTAGGCTGCGTATTCCTCTGGGAGTTCCTGTGTAGAGAAACAGGGCTTTTTGTGTGTGTGCAGGGCAGATGCGTGTGTGTGTGTGTGTGTGTGTGTGTTTGTGTGTATTCCATGAAGGTGTGCGCCTCATAATGTGTGCCACCTCCAAGGTCTGAGCAATCTCTCACGCTGGGCTTTTTCTGCCGAGTACACACTTCCTTTAGCTTCAGTCAATAGTGTGCCTTTTAAAGAAGAGCTATCAATAGCACTTTTCTACCATCAAGGTGTTAAGACTGTCAGCACATCCCACTCATCTGTCAGCATTTCAAAAATGGTATCACTAATTTAAATTTGCTATGGGCTTTTCTCAGCCCTACCAATGGCAGAGCAATACTGTAGATGTTTGACGTGTTGGTCATTTGCTTGAAAGTTTGTTGGCATCTTCTAAAGGTTTTACCTGCCACTTAACTTGGTCTCACAAATCTCGAACGAGGTATATTTCAAAGACTGGCCCGCTGATGCGTAATTTTGAGTGACAATATGAAACTGAAATCCTGCAACAGCTATTCAATTCAAGCAGCAGTATTTATCTGAGAAGGCTTTACAAAACTGTTGTTTTTGTCAACACAGGTTAGAGAATCAAACAGTTCAAACACAAGAAATCTAAGTTAGTAAGTAAGTAATTAAGTAATATTTATTCATATTCACAGACTATAGACACAAAGAGCTTTACAATTGTTGTGGGCATTTGTCTCTTACTCCATACAGTGAAGGGACCTGGGCCGCCATACAGGAGGCATGCCGGACCTATTGTACATTTTTTTAGTGGTAGGGAAAACCGGAACACCAGAAACCACTCAGGCACGAGGAAAACATGCATACACCACACAGCAAGGTCTGAAATTGAACCCATGACCTTCTTGCTTCTTGCTGTGAAGCACTAGCACTAACCACTGCGTCACCATCTTGCCCAAAGATAATATAATAAACACATTGAACCATTGGTCCTTAAGGAAGCATTTCACCTCCAGGTTTGACTTACATACTGGTGTTTTAATGAGAGATCCAGAGTTGACCCTTTGGCAATGGTTCTGAAATATTCTAGCAGTTCTTGGTATGGTGTGTATATATATATTGCAATATGTCTCGTATATTTGATATCTTATATATTATATATCTTATAAATGTCTGTTTTTATCAAATTAAATAAAACAAGTGGTTAATCAATAGAAAGAATCACATTGTATCAACCCAACCTGGGGTTACCTCATGGTCACACGCCAGCGCTCACCTCAAAGAATTTCCAGCTTTATTGGTCTCCTGGTTTTATTTAGTTTCAACTTTTCACTTGTTTGGTTTCCTGCTGAACTTTACACTTTTGACTTTCCAAAGAAACTTGTCTAACACGGCTAAGAGAGCACATTTCATTTTTTTTGCGGCACATTTTTTTGTCGACCCCTTCACCCACCCATCACCCCTGTGTGCCGTGGAAGCAGAAATGAAAGCAAAAACAAACAATTCATCTACAATTGTAGTTAAAGCAATGGTCCAAATATACATACGGTGCGCTAACTAATTAGAGTTACCCTTGTCCGGACTCAACAGTGGCTCCTGCTACAGTATGTGCTCCATTTATCTATGGGGACTGGCTGCTTGTTTGGGCATCAATATGGTCAGCACATAGCAGGTGCAGTTATAAAGAAGTGCTGCACTCAGGAGACACCAGGGGGCAAACAGGTAACTCTGTGGCATCCAGCTCTGCCCTAGCGCTGGAGCTGAGGGGAATAGTAACAGATGGATGTGTGAGATTTGCATTCAGCCAGCTTCCACTTTTGGCTGTGTTCTGCCCCGGGGCTATGTCATTTGCATTGAAAAATGTTTCCTCCTCCTCTCCTTGAGCTGTACGTATCACTAGGGTTTATAGGAACAGATACGTTGTTAAGGCCTGGGCAAAGTTACGCCCCAATCGATTCCTATCCACCACTCAAATCACTCCTGCCTGATGTGAGTGCATACAATCAGACAGGCTATTTTATATTTCTTTTCTCATCTTCCACCCTTTTCATATTACTGCAATTTTATAGACTTGAGACTGATTTGTTAGAGGCAGCGACAGATCCTTCTTTGTTTTGTTTCCATGTGAGTTGGAGTCTTTTCTGTTTGTGAGATGGTGATTAATGAGCTCACGTCACAGATGTTTGATGCTGAAGTCATTTGCAGCTTCCTCAGACTGAACTGCATGGCTCCTGTTATAACGGGTAACAAATGAGAGGAAATCTTAATGGGATGAAGGTTTGATGATTTTCAGAGCACAAGGGAGCACCAAATGCTGCATAGTGGCATTCATGGACATTGGTCATCTGCCCCTTATGAATCAATGGCTCTATTGTTTTTTTTTTTTATCATTGCATTTCTTGTGTTCGAACTGTTGGATTCACTGATCTGTGTTGATGAATTGACAGTTTTGTAAAGTCCTTCGAGATAACTTCTGATTTAGGGCTATACAAAAATAAATTTACAATATGATACTATTAAGCAATGACAGACATTGACTCCATCAAAACAATATCTCTATATGAAAATGTTTATATAGAGTTGAGTTCTGTGAATCTGGTATACTGATGACTTCCAAGAAACATACATATATCCAACATGTCAAAGCTGGGGTACCCAACCTTCAAACTACAAAGGAAAATGAAGTGTACAATACAATTCATCTCACCTTGCTTGCAAAACAGTTTTGTTCCGTCAATAGTTTTCACATGCATGCAAAATGAGGTACCCAGCCTTTAGCTTATAAAATCTCAATATTGATCAAAAGTGTGCCTGATTGAGAGTTATACAATAATGTGATACAAAAGGTACGGGTGGGAGTTTGACATAAAACGACAATTTGATAGTATTCCAGATGCACGCACAAGCTGCGACTGGCAGTGGATGAGAGCTTGGTGTCTTTGTTGAATGTGTTTTATGAACTTTATGAACGTTTGAGTTACCTGTGTTAGTTATTGTAGTTGACTGGGGCATTTGACGGACTGGTGCGTTTATCAACGCGATCAGATGTGACGGCTTTATTGTGCTGGCATGCCTTCTCCTTCGTCTCCTGGCAAATACTTTCAATGGAGCTGCAGTAGGGCTGGGCGATAAAACGATAACGATATATATCGCGATAGACATGTGTTCGATATCAATAGAGGATGGGGTCGATAGAATGTTTGATAGTTTAACTTAACTCCGTCAGGAAAAACAGGAAGAAAACACCGGAAGTAAAGCCGACTCATAAGCGCATGGCATTGTGGGGGATGTAGGCGGAGGCTTCTCGACCAATAACAGCCGAGCAGGAACCGCAAAACTTTGTGGGAAATGCAAAAACAACAACAACCGCAGCATGCGTAGCGTCCATGGATCTATAGCTCGTGTTTCAATGCCGTGTCAATGGTTATGCACGTACGTGCGCGGAATAACATGTGCGGCGGCAGAGGCAGTGGACAGACACGATGTATTCGGCGAAAGCAAGAGATTAACTTTTTCCTAGGGAAGCATGTGCGGCACAGAGAGCCGCACGGAGCGGTCACGGGGACACAAGACCCTCAAACAGCTAAACCAGGAGCTAAACCAGGAATAAAAAACCAGGATTAAACCAGGACTAACAACCATGGACACAGTGTGAACATATTTCTCCAGCCTCATCGCCCCGTGACTGTAAACAAGGCTGCTAAGGTTGGTTAGCCCACACAACAAATATATTTATTTAGGTAAAAAAAAAAAACTCAATATATATCGTTATCGACCGATATGAATGACTTATATCGTGATATAGTTTTCAGCCATATCGCCCAGCCCTAAGCTGCAGCGTCTTCTTTTGCAAGACTTCAATGCACAAGGAAAATGCTCCTTGAACTGAAACTGAGTTCCATGTCAGCTGTGCCAGACCTCATCTGGCAATTCGAAACTTTATAAGGAATACGGGCAAAATGTACAGGAACAGAAAAAGTAGGAAGCAGGGGAAACCACACTCCCCTACCTTCAGTCATCAAGGGAAATTGCTGGACTCTCAAAATAAACTTTACAAACTTCATATTTGTATCCCTCTTCAGTAGGATGTTATGAACTTTTGTGTGTTGGCTTTTTCGGAAACGTGGTTTACTGAGAATGACCCGGTTCAGGACCTGTATATGGATGGTTTTGGAGTACCACTGCGCTCGGACCGAGACGCTGAAACTGGAAAGCAGCAAGGAGGAGGAATATGTGTTTATGGTTATCAGCAATACTGCAAAGCTGTCACCATAAGAAAACAGATTTTTACGTGCAATGTGGAGCTTCTTTCTGTTTTGTTGCACCCTTTCTACCTCCTCCAAGAGTTTCCTCAACTCTTTATGATGGTGGTGTATATTCATCCCAAGGCAGATGCTGAAGCTGCCACCAGCACTATCTTTGATGTTGTACAGAAGCTGCAAGCAATCTCACCGGAAGCACTGAACTTTATTCTTGGGGATTTTAATCACGTGACCTTGATGACTACACTTAAGAACTTCATACAAGTATGTCTCCTGCCCAACCAGGCAGAAGAAAACACTGGACTTGTACTATGGATCCAATCTGTCCGCTGGGCTCCTCAGATCATAGTTGTGTGCAGTTAGTGCCCGCTTATGAGACCGTTCTTAAGAGAGAAAAAACTGTGACCAGGTACGTAAAAGTCAGGACTTAGAATACTGTACTTTCACTGCAGGAATGCTTTGATTGTACCGACTGGGATGTCTTTACTCATGTAACGATGACCTGGACACCTTGGCTGATGTAACCTGCTCTTATATGGATTTTTGCAGGGACATGATAATATACTCCAATAATAGGCCTTGGGTTACAAGAAGAAATTAAACCAAATGTGCTTACAAATCAAAATTGGAAAATCAGATGGCAGCTAACAAACTTAGCCTGGACAAGCATGAAAATCAGTGCTGGTCTCCAAAATTGCCAAGCAAAAAGTAATACAAAATTAAACAAAACAATAATAATTTTTAGAGGGCTTTATATCTGACAGGCCAATGCTTTTAAAGAGTTTTGCTGCCGTTTTGACTCTTTCCATTTTCGTAGGGAAATTCTTGATCTGAAGAATGCTCTTGTTGATAGTGCACGAGTTGCAGGATGTCAAAGAAACCCTTTCTGGAATTAAGCAAAAAAAAAGCCACAGTCCTGACAAGATATGTGGTTGCTGACTCAAATCCTGTGTGCCTGAAGAAAGCCCTATTTTGCATTTTATATTCGATACATCTTCACAATTACAGTAGGTACCTGAAATTTGGAAGGATATTGTAGTTGTCCCTGTTCCCAAGTCGAGCTGCACCAAAACCTTGAATGACTTTTGTCCAGTGGCCCTTACATCAATTATGATGAAAACCTGTAAGAAATGAGCTCCTAAAGCAAAGACAAGACTCTCTGAATCCTTTACAGTTTGTGTATAGGCCACAGAGGGGAGTAGAGGATGCTACTGCCACTCTGCTCAACTTTCTTTTTAAACACCTGAATTTAAATGGGACACATGCTGGCTCTTATTTGTTGACTTCTCATTAGCTTTTAATAAAACCACAGTTATGATAAAAAGGCTGCAGGAGCAGTTTGGTTGGTGCAAAAGCTTATTGGGATGGAACTAGGACTTTTTAATCAACAGGAAAATTGTTTTTCTACCGGATCTCCACATGAATGCGCTCTTTATCCAATTTATACATTCTGAATACAAACATGTGTCAAAGCAGATATGACGACAGAATGAAAATCAAATATGCTGACAACTCAGTCATCGTTAGCCTATTGAAAAATGATTAGAACTGCCACGGTCCACTTGTTGAGGACTTTGTCGGCTGGTGTGAGAAATCCTACCTACAGCTACACAGGCACCGAAGCACCTTAATTAAGGGCCAGACTATCGAACAAGTGCAATTGTATAAATACCTCGGGACAATCATTGATAATAAACTGAACATTTAAGGTTATAAGTGTGTAAAAAGGGTCAGCAGCGAATCCACTGTTTGAGGAAGCTGGCACAGTTTCATATTGACTGATCCATCCTGACTATGTTTTATCATGCTTTTATTGAATCGATTTTATCTTTCTCTCTATCTTCATGGTTTGGCCAGTCTACCTTGAAACAGAAAAAATCTTTGGACCAGATTAATGGTCCTGCTGTCTGCTTGGTAGCACACAGGGCAGTGCAGCGTATGTACAGCAGGCAGGTATAGAGGATCGCTGCCTGTATCTTAAAGGATGAGTCCCACCCGCTGCATTTGCACTTTACCCCCTGCCCTCAGGGAGGAGGTTTTTAGTCCTAAGATGCTGTACAAAACGTTACAAGAACAGTTTTGTTCCCACTGCAGTTACCTTAATAAACAGGCTGTAGTTTGCACAGTGGCATGCTGCACTTTCTTTCTTATCCTAGGTTTTTACTTTGGAGTCAAGTCTATATACTTTTAGCTGCAAAAGGAATCTACCCATGGTTACAAATGAAGTCACCTTGAACTTTGTATTGCTCTTTTTTGACCACAATTCAATATAATTGTCATTCTTAACATATTGCGATACAGAAAGTATTGCAACTAAACTCTGCAACTGAGATTCATGTCCCTCATATTATTAATAGGCATTACAAAAATTGAGGAAATTAAAACTGCTCAACTCAAAAGTCACATTTATTATGGTCTGCACAATAACTGAAGTGCAAAAACATTATCCTTAAACATTCAGGACACAGGACAGTATTACAGACAAGACATCATTATTCTCTGACTAGACGACTCTCACATGAACGGTGAGCTCTCATATGGTGAGCATATCACTGACATTATTCAAATACAACAGACTAGAGTCACAAAAAGCAAACATCATAGAGGAACATACCCCTCAGATGTAAATTACCAGTAAACCCAGTGAAAAAACAAAATTAATATTTGAATAATTATTGCAATACTTTTCTTGACTGTATCATTTTAATTGTGTGCACAAAATATTGCAATACTCAACAGAATATTTTTTTCCCCACCATTAACAAAAGGGTGCTTATTTCTAAGCCTTCTAGGTTTGGTTATTGAATAAATAAATACACAAAAATCACTTATTTTGGCATACACATACCCTAAACAAATTAAAATAGTTATGAGTAGTGAAAATAAGGGACGAGCTACCAATACTAAACATTAATAAGCCTCTTTTCTGACTCCCTATTCCATCAAATGGCATTCAAATAGTGTCTTTTTCCTCTTATGTCTACTAGCTCGTCATTTCCCTGTCCGAAAATCTCCAGTGTGACACCGAATACAGATATCCGTGCACCTGGTTCTTAGCCACTACCCACTCTGAGCCTGTGCCTTGATTGTCTTTGAGGAGACTGTCCTCTTGAGCTCTTTCTTCTGCCTCTGCTGAAAGTGAGAGTAGCACCAAGTTTTAACAGGAGACTAGATTTAATTAGCGTGGAAGGGAGCTCTCCTACGCACCGTATCCTGTCATGTTATCCTTCTTGTGGGGGAGGACAGTTCTTTACCAGTAGCTCAAACACATTCCACGCAATGGCTTTATCAACAAGCTGTTCCCATGGGATGCACTGTGTCTGCGATAAGCCGTTAGCATGTTTGTTATAGTATGTTTATTTTAAAGGAAAATTTGCTGTAGCCAGACAGTTTCAGTTTTCAGTCGTGGTTTTGTTAGACATTTAAGATTAAGAGATCATTTAGTTACAGACAGTATGAATGAGGAGCACACATTTAATAAGATAAATGGATAATATCTCTAAAATATCCAACTTTAGCATGATGAATTACACAATTTCTGAATTTCAGTATCTGTGTCAAGAATACAAAATGACTGTAGTGGGAACTAGTTAAATAAATGTGCTTTTGTTTCATTTTATTCATTGTAATTCATTTCTCACGTTTTTAGGTTGAATCGTTTCCCAATGTAAAAGAAGTGCTGTACAGAAAACAAAAACAGTGAGAAAATATATTTACATTATTTAGACATAGACAATAGAAAATCCAACATTTCCAAAGGTCTGCTTTCTTACCTCTGTCCCAGTTCAGACTCAGCCTACTCTTAAACCCCACTGGCTCCTTACCACATGTGAATTAACTAAAAAAAGAAACACATACTACATTGTAGGTCATTTAAAATATAAAAAATATGGATAAATCTCAAAATTAATTCTTCCTACTATAGAGTTATCTTCTGCTGCAGACAACACAAGAAATATAATTAATTACATTTACGCAACAACAGCAATATACAATGACCTCATCAATGACCTAACTTTATTTTTTCAAAACTTCGTTCCTGTTGTTGTCTTAATAGAAAGCATTTTTTTAAGAAATCCCTGGGAGTCAAGATTTAGGAAATGATTTGCTGAACAAAAACTATATTCATGTGAAAACTAGCAACGGAACCAAACCAGAAGCCACATTTATTTTTTCCTGGATTGTAATATACGGTTTGATTTTTGTGGTTTTGGAATTGGGTACCCCAGCTTTAAGTATAGACAAATGTATGTATTCTGGTATAGACCTAAACAGACATGTGTGTACTGTCAAACTTGGGGAGTGTACCATGGCATGCTTTGATAAGAGGAAACTATTTCAACCCTACCTCCAGACAATTCGCCTCCCTTTCCTCTCTGTCGGAAATTAGCTGGAACATGCATCATTCAGCGTAGGATGCTAATGTTTGGGTACTTTTCAGGACTGTGCCAAATGCTGGGTTCGACAGCACTACTGCAGAACCTTGTCCGGGGGAAGAACGCCAAGAATCTCCCGCAGTAAAACTTCCTCAAGCAGAAGACCACTGCAACAACACCAGCCAGGAAATCACCTGCTCGGGGGACACCTCAGAAGGTACCGATGAAATTGTATTGACAAGAAAGCAACGCAGCTCATGTGGGGTAGTAGTAGATCAAGGGTTCAATTTCAGAGCAAGGAGATTAAGCCTATAGGTTGCCATGCACTGGAGCTGGACTGAGTCTACCTACTCATTATGGCATGCAGGTGGTGGACAGATCTGATAGAAAAGCAATTGGATCACCACAGTTGCGTGAATAGAACTGTGGGCCACGCTATAATGACATTGCCAATATTAGGTGTGCAGCAGTATTTCGTTAAGCCTACCTCGACCTTGATCAAATGTGAAGAAAACACCATATTACACACGCACACAGACACACTCATTTGTAAGGCGTCACAAACTGCCAATCTACCTGTGAATACAAATACACAACAAATTTAGTGTTTTGTGAATGAGGGGCTAGAAAACAGGCGATAACACATTTTCTCTGCTGCTGATTTGATTTCTGCACAGACATGACATGAATCCAATTAATTCTGGATGTGGATCAATAGACTACCATTTCCATGAAGGAAAATTGCTTTTGGATTTTGACTCGGTCAGCAATGCAGCTGTTATTTGAAGGTGGCTTGGCAATGAGAGATGTAAGGAGACCCACCATGCCACCTTTATGTCTGTAATCTATTCACATGAACGTGCACTGGTTTATTTTGCAAGATTGATATTATGTTCTGAATATGTTGCCATAGCTGCATGCCAGACCCCGTCAGACCTTTGAAGCTAAGCAGTGCAGGGCCTAGTTAGTAGTGTGATGGTAGACATGATTAAGAGAAAGAGATCTTTTATTTAGGAGCATTTGATGAATGAAAAATATCTATACACTAAAAGGAAATAAAATGAAATCTCTAACTTTAGTATATAAAAGAAGAAAGAAGAATCTGCAGATTTAGCATCCAAGCAAATATAAGATCTCCAAGATTTGCATAATGAAGAAGCAAGAGTTAAGTACAAAATCAAAGTATAAAATGTTGTATATTCTATTGCAATAAATAGTTATGTGTACAGTTACCAGCCTGAGTGTATGGGATAAAGTGACTTTACTAAAGTGACATTGGACACATGAGCTTCTATATTGAACATTGTGACATTATGGGAACAGCAGGTACCACAGCTGTAAAGTGCCGCACTGTGTTGTGTCTTTAGGCAAGACACTTCACCCACAATGACTTGAATGAATCTGCTGTGTGTGTGAATGGTTGGTGGTGATCATAGGGGCCGATGGCACATACTGGGTGCCTCGCTTGTGCCCCAGGGCAGCTCTGGCTACACCATTGTATATGGAGTGAAAGAAAAATGAAGCGTATTTGAATGTCCAAAAAAAAAAAAAAAACACAATGCAGCATTATATTTTTTATGAATTACGAAACTTGTGTGGAGAGAGGACAAGAATATTGTGTGTGTTACCTAAGCAAAATAATACAACATGAAGAAATATTACAGACATTTATTGCATTTTTCTCTACTACATTTTATGTCACATTGATATCTGAAAAACCATTTATTTGTGTTCATGTATATACCTGAAGAGTCAGTGTGACCTGTGAATGAGTTTTAGAGGAGTGCTTCTATTGCTTCTGAAAAAGTTAGATAAAGGTGGAAAAGAAAAACACGGGAGGAGGAAAGTTTGGATTTACTATATTTGAAATAACAAACGTTTTCCCCAAGAGACACAGTCACTTTGCAGATATGCTGATAGCAAGCTTATAGCCCACATCCAGTTGTTTTCTTCTCTGGCTGAATCCATTCTGAATGTAGCAGTGAAGGAAAGGGAACACGATTGAAGGAAACGTTTGTATAGCTAATCCTCTTTTGTGCAAAGACCGTTGCTCTTTGTTCATCTGCTGGATTGTTTCCAAGGTTATTTTAACTTTAAGACTGAAATAATCCTTGGCAGAATACACATCTCCAATCAGATTAATTGAAAACAGTGATTGCGGCTATTGGGGTCTTAGTAGAAAGTGTTGCAGACAAATCGCAGTTTAAATCCAAATCAATAAAACTCACTGAGCTAAATTAGGCTGAAACACTCTCAAAGCAGTTAATGACAAATCCGGCCGACCGTGGGGATAGAACAGGTCAATAGCTCAAACAAGCTGGATACAATCGTGTCTTGTCACATGAACAGAACCATTACAGCAACATGTCAGATGCCCCTGAGAAGAAAAGGTCTTCAAATGTAACACCAAAAGGTACCAGCACACTCAGCCATACAGGTGAAACTATTAGAATATCAATCAAAAAACTCATTACATGAAGACCGACATATGCCAAGCCTTTTTTTTGTGATCAATGATTTTGGCGCAGTTCATTGTCAAAATATTTATTCTAGTGTTTTTATTTTGTATTTTTTTTATTTTGAACCTGCACAACACATATTTTTACATAGATCATTTCAACAGTGTTATAACAATACAATACAATACAATTTATTCTTGTATAGCCCGAAATCTCAACAGCAGTCATCTCAGAGGACTTAACAAAACCAATTCCTACTGTTCTGTAACCGGTGATGAAACACTGACATTTCGCCACTGGGACGAATAAAGGATCTCTTAATTTTACTTTGGGTGTTTTTACAAACTGTGAGCCATAATTTTCAACATTATAATAAATAGAGTCTTTATAAATCTCACGTTGCCTGTAATTAGTCTACAGTACTTTGCTATATTATACAAGTCAACTTTTGAAAGCGTTTCAAATGTGCATTTACAGCTCAAACACCTTCCTTTTTAGCTTAAATCGTGGCAATGCTAACATATCAAAAAGGAAAGTTCAATTCAATTCAATTCAATTTTTATAGCCCTTAATCACAACAGTAATTATCTTTACAGAGCTTTACAAAACTGGGATTGGCCAACAGAGATCAGAGAATCAATAGGAGCGCATTAAAAGTCAACACACACCTCTTTCTAAATACAAACCATAATGCAAAATTGTCTTTGATGCCTGTGGACAGCAGCGGCTTGCGAGACTACAGAGGTGATCTATGATGATGTTCCAAACGAGGACCTCCTCTCTCCCGACGAAGGTTAGATCACTTTGTTTATTCAGACTATTTTCTGTTTGAATGGCTCTGCTCCAAATTATAGATGTGCATTTCTGTGTGTGTGTACGTGTGTGTGTGTTTGTTGCTGAGCAGATATGATCTATGAAGACGTTCAAAGTAACACCGGCCGAGCGGCGGCTGCAGACAATGGATGGAGCTCCAGCGAATTCGAAAGCTACGACGAACAATCCGATAACGAGAGCAAACAGCCGACACGAAGCAAGGTAGTATTACAGTATGGACACATTGCCACGGGACATTGCTTTATCGATATTAAGTTTACTTTCTCGCACAACGAGGACTAGCAATTGTGGAGGAATCATGTGGCATTAAAGTAAACAAATGGCTCCTCTGGTTTGGAAGCTCTTATTCTTGTTTTATTGCCAGGTCTGCTGTAGCTGTGCAGAGGCTTTCTCCTGAGTGCTCTTCCACATGATGGCACTGTGAGCACATTCACATTGAGCTGCATTGCCTTCACGCTCCACTGTCTAGAAATGCACAGGGGCCGGGCAGACATTTTCATTATAAACAACAATAGAAAGACGAAGTTTTGAGCCGAATTGATCACAATCAGATTATAACTTCAGGCTACATAGCACTTGAAGTCTGGTGAAATTCACAACCAGGCTGTTAAAAAGCCAAAGCCATTTTTATTAAAGTTACTAGATTAACAGTGGGGGTGTTGGTGACAGATGTAGATTTCCTCTATTTTGTATTTTGGTAATTACAACGGTGCAACTAGACTGCGTGAACAATTATTGCCAACGCTTTAAAATACTGAGCCAGTTTGTCTGCGTGCGGCTTTCATCACAAAACGCCCTTTTTAATCAGTCACGCCTAATTAATTTTTTAACAAGTGTTTCTAAAGTTGCGCCTTTACTGCAGTTCATTGCTTAATTTGTTCATTGGAGAACAGTGACATAGTTTTGTTTTCCTATAAGCCGCCTGCACCCCTGTGTCGTGCTGTTACAAATGACTAGCCATTAGCCTCATCTAGCATATCCCCTTTGACCGAAGCTTTTACTTTCTGTGCTCATGATTAAATCCTGATGTTGCATGAGTTTTTGCCCTTCATCTCTATTCTCTTCATCCTGTCCCTGCTTTCCCCTATGCTTGTCGTGACTAAAATGCTGCCTGTGCCTTTCCCTTTCCCTGTGACCCGGCCATGACCATAGCTCTCCCCCGATGTTCTCCGCCTGAGAGAGCGATGTGCCAGGACCAAACGCGAACTGGCTACGAGGCTAGCCGGCAAGCACAGCTATGACATGAAGGTATCCACCTGGACCTAACCAACTTTTTCTTTGTGGTGTGCTCGCTAACTCCAACTGACAGCCTGCACTATAAACGTTTCAGCTTTCATTGTGCTGTCTGTGTTTCAAGCAGTCTGCATATCTCTCTCAGTCCCTGCTAGCCAGGGCAAGCTGCAACTGGACTGGCCTGTCACACTAATAGTTGTTGGTAGTGTGATGCCTCTGTATCCATTCTGTTCAGCACATTGTTATTGTAGGACTATTCCGTGTTGTATTCTGTAACCATTATCCACTAATGGTTCTTATAGTCGATGGCTGATGACTGAATAATAATATTAGAAATACTCTGGACAAATATGTACACAATACATAATCTAATCGGAGAGCATGTACAGTATCTCTCACATTTCATCAAAATAAAACAAATAAAAGAGCACCACGCGTTTACTGTAATGAAAGCAGGTAAGTATGCATACGCAAGTCTGTACTGTTTCTAGATAAACCTCAGCACATTTGGTTTTAGTGCTTGGGCGCTATAATTGTCTCAGGCAGGACGTTTCTAGCAACAAATGTTGGATTGCAGCTGTGACTTTAATTAACTAGTGAGGGAGTCTACTACTTTAATTCTGTATTAGTGAATAACCAGCCCAATAAATGGTGACATGCCCACATGCCTACACAATTCCATAAACAAGCGGGTTAAGAGATCCTTTATTTGTCCCATAGTAGGGGGAAATCTCAGTGTTGCTTTGCCGGTTACAGGACAGTAGGAATGAGGAGCACACAGCACCAGATAAGTGAACAGTCCCTCTATACAAAAAAAAAAAAAAAATCTATAACTTCTTTATCCATCCATCCATTTTCTCCCCCTTAATCTGGGTAGGGGGGGTGGCAGTCAGAGCAGCACCCAGTACACTTAGTACCAGCCGCTCACTGATCCCTCTGCAGGTGGTGAATCCACAGGAGCCTAAATCTTGCATCTGGGGCTTTTGGGCAAAGAGGGGTTAAGTGTCTTGCCCAAGGACACAAGTGAGAGTCATGAAGTAGGTCTCGTGGTGGATTCGAACCTACAACCTTCAGGCCCAGAGGCCGATGCTTTACCAACTGATTCACTGTCAGCGTAATAAAGAAGAAAGTCTAAAATCTTTATCTTTAGCATAATAACAAAACTAATCCAAAATATTTTACTTTAGCATAATAAAGAAGAAATTCTAAAATCTCTGACTTTAGCATAATAAAGAAGAAATTCTAAAATCTCTGACTTTAGCATAATAAAGAAGCACATGTAATTTATCTGGTTTCAGCAAAATAAAGAAGCAAGTTTAAAATCTCACTTTAACATAATAAAGAAGCTGTTAAAAATGATTGACAGTAAAAATGCTGTCAATTCTAGTGCCAGAAATATATAAATGGCTACATCTGTACATGTTAGCAGCATGAGGGCTGGGACAAAGTGACAGACGACACATGTGGTTTTATATTGCACATTCTGACATTAAACAGGTGGTATACAGTGAATTACCACCCCACCGAAGCACTTTACACTGTGTCCCTTTTCCTTGTGCAGTCCTTTAAAGAGCCTCTTATGCTTCTCAGGGTGGAATTCGTGGTCAGCAAAAATCTCCCTCATAGATCTATTATTACGTTACGAAGCCCATGCTGTTACCATAATCACCCCATGATATGCCCGTGTAGCCGCCCTGATTAGGGGCTGTTCGCGGCCTACGGGGAGATCGCAGATGGTAAGATTCTAGACGAGCCTTGTTGAGCTGCTTCTCGTGTATCCATCCATCGCCGCTCGTAACCATTTTTAGGTGATCTAGCCTCCGCACCAGCACAGCACTTTGATCGCACGCTAATACCTCCCTCTCCTCTCCTGGTGTCTGCTTTTCTTCCAACCAGGTCCAGCAGCTTATGAAGGCGGCCAAGAGTGGGACCAAGGATGGGCTGAGAAGACCAAAATAGCCGTTTATGAGAAAAGTGTCCTTCCTACAAAGAAAGGACCAATTTGGTAATTACTCCAAAGTAGCGTGCATGATTTTTAGCTCCACATTTCTGTGCGGCTCAAGAACCTTCCCAGTTTGGTCACCTCATATTGGTCTTTAGCTTAATAAAATGGATCAGGAGTCATTACCAAGTGAAGGCTTGTAACTTATTATTTGCTACCATGGCATGTCATACATTTATTTTGTTCTCATAATAATGAACCCAAAATGTTATTAGTAATAATTTTATGTAGCTTTTTGCTAAATTAACAAAAAACGGAACCAAATGAAAACAGACCTAGTAACAAGTCTTTTCATCGGTGCCCAGTGAAGGACGATATCCTTCACTTTGGAGGATATCGCCCTATTCTCCAAAGGGAAAAGGGCTATATACCAATGTGGCTTCCAGAAATAATTGCCCATCCCTGCTCCTGTGGACTTATCTTTCAACAATTGATCGGTGGTACCCAGATATTTTGGAGGAAGATAAATATTGGTCTTGTGTGTTTTATTTGCAAAGGTGGGAGATATTCTTTTTAATACAATATCAATATACACTGTAGAGGTTCGATTAACTTTGAATCACTAACTAATGGTAAAGAAAAAAGCAATTATTTATGGTTGTTATGTCACAGGGATAAAAATGGCTTAAAATACGATTGTTTTATACTGTATCTTTGTAATAACAAATTATCCATTCGTTAACATGATGCACTGAGCGAAGGCATCTTTATTTTTAAATGATTACTTGCAATGGATTAAATGGTAATAAGCAAGCATAAACATATAAACTAGCATTGAGACTAGCCTTATAGATATTCCGAGCCACTGATTATTATAGACAAAGTTTGGTATTGGTATTGGCAACAACAGCAATATACAATGACCTCATCAATGACCTAACTTTATTTTTTCAAAACTTCGTTCCTGTTGTTGTCTTAATAGAAAGCATTTTTTTAAGAAATCCCTGGGAGTCAAGATTTAGGAAATGATTTGCTGAACAAAAACTATATTCATGTGAAAACTAGCAACGGAACCAAACCAGAAGCCACATTTATTTTTTCCTGGATTGTAATATACGGTTTGATTTTTGTGGTTTTGGAATTGGGTACCCCAGCTTTAAGTATAGACAAATGTATGTATTCTGGTATAGACCTAAACAGACATGTGTGTACTGTCAAACTTGGGGAGTGTACCATGGCATGCTTTGATAAGAGGAAACTATTTCAACCCTACCTCCAGACAATTCGCCTCCCTTTCCTCTCTGTCGGAAATTAGCTGGAACATGCATCATTCAGCGTAGGATGCTAATGTTTGGGTACTTTTCAGGACTGTGCCAAATGCTGGGTTCGACAGCACTACTGCAGAACCTTGTCCGGGGAAGAACGCCAAGAATCTCCCGCAGTAAAACTTCCTCAAGCAGAAGACCACTGCAACAACACCAGCCAGGAAATCACCTGCTCGGGGGACACCTCAGAAGGTACCGATGAAATTGTATTGACAAGAAAGCAACGCAGCTCATGTGGGGTAGTAGTAGATCAAGGGTTCAATTTCAGAGCAAGGAGATTAAGCCTATAGGTTGCCATGCACTGGAGCTGGACTGAGTCTACCTACTCATTATGGCATGCAGGTGGTGGACAGATCTGATAGAAAAGCAATTGGATCACCACAGTTGCGTGAATAGAACTGTGGGCCACGCTATAATGACATTGCCAATATTAGGTGTGCAGCAGTATTTCGTTAAGCCTACCTCGACCTTGATCAAATGTGAAGAAAACACCATATTACACACGCACACAGACACACTCATTTGTAAGGCGTCACAAACTGCCAATCTACCTGTGAATACAAATACATATTTTGTGTTTTGTAAGAGGGGCTAGAAAAAAGGCGATAACACACTTTTCTCTGCTGCTGATTTGATTTGTGTGACATAGAATCCAATTATTCTGGATGGACTACCATTTCCATATTGCTTTTGGATTTGCCTCGGTCAGGACATGATTAAGAGAAAGAGATCTTTTATTTACTGGGCAAGCATTTGATGAATGAAAAATATCTATACACTAAAAGGAGAATAAAATGAAATCTCTGAAACTTTTAGTATATAAAAGAAGAAAGAAGAATCTGCAGATTTAGCATCCAAGCAAATATAAGATCTCCAAGATTTGCATAATGAAGAAGCAAGAGTTAAGTACAAAATCAAAGTATAAAATGTTGTATATTCTATTGCAATAAATAGTTATGTGTACAGTTACCAGCCTGAGTGTATGGGATAAAGTGACTTTACTAAAGTGACATTGGACACATGAGCTTCTATATTGAACATTGTGACATTATGGGAACAGCAGGTACCACAGCTGTAAAGTGCCGCACTGTGTTGTGTCTTTAGGCAAGACACTTCACCCACAATGACTTGAATGAATCTGCTGTGTGTGTGAATGGTTGGTGGTGATCATAGGGGCCGATGGCACATACTGGGTGCCTCGCTTGTGCCCCAGGGCAGCTCTGGCTTACACCATTGTATATGGAGTGAAAGAAAAATGAAGCGTATTTGAATGTCCAAAAAAAAAAAAAAAACACAATGCAGCATTATATTTTTTATGAATTACGAAACTTGTGTGGAGAGAGGACAAGAATATTGTGTGTGTTACCTAAGCAAAATAATACAACATGAAGAAATATTACAGACATTTATTGCATTTTTCTCTACTACATTTTATGTCACATTGATATCTGAAAAACCATTTATTTGTGTTCATGTATATACCTGAAGAGTCAGTGTGACCTGTGAATGAGTTTTAGAGGAGTGCTTCTATTGCTTCTGAAAAAGTTAGATAAAGGTGGAAAAAGAAAAAACACGGGAGGAGGAAAGTTTGGATTTACTATATTTGAAATAACAAACGTTTTCCCCAAGAGACACAGTCACTTTGCAGATATGCTGATAGCAAGCTTATAGCCCACATCCAGTTGTTTTCTTCTCTGGCTGAATCCATTCTGAATGTAGCAGTGAAGGAAAGGGAACACGATTGAAGGAAACGTTTGTATAGCTAATCCTCTTTTGTGCAAAGACCGTTGCTCTTTGTTCATCTGCTGGATTGTTTCCAAGGTTATTTTAACTTTAAGACTGAAATAATCCTTGGCAGAATACACATCTCCAATCAGATTAATTGAAAACAGTGATTGCGGCTATTGGGGTCTTAGTAGAAAGTGTTGCAGACAAATCGCAGTTTAAATCCAAATCAATAAAACTCACTGAGCTAAATTAGGCTGAAACACTCTCAAAGCAGTTAATGACAAATCCGGCCGACCGTGGGGATAGAACAGGTCAATAGCTCAAACAAGCTGGATACAATCGTGTCTTGTCACATGAACAGAACCATTACAGCAACATGTCAGATGCCCCTGAGAAGAAAAGGTCTTCAAATGTAACACCAAAAGGTACCAGCACACTCAGCCATACAGGTGAAACTATTAGAATATCAATCAAAAAACTCATTACATGAAGACCGACATATGCCAAGCCTTTTTTTGTGATCAATGATTTTGGCGCAGTTCATTGTCAAAATATTTATTCTAGTGTTTTTATTTTGTATTTTTTTTATTTTGAACCTGCACAACACATATTTTTACATAGATCATTTCAACAGTGTTATAACAATACAATACAATACAATTTATTCTTGTATAGCCCGAAATCTCAACAGCAGTCATCTCAGAGGACTTAACAAAACCAATTCCTACTGTTCTGTAACCGGTGATGAAACACTGACATTTCGCCACTGGGACGAATAAAGGATCTCTTAATTTTACTTTGGGTGTTTTTACAAACTGTGAGCCATAATTTTCAACATTATAATAAATAGAGTCTTTATAAATCTCACGTTGCCTGTAATTAGTCTACAGTACTTTGCTATATTATACAAGTCAACTTTTGAAAGCGTTTCAAATGTGCATTTACAGCTCAAACACCTTCCTTTTTAGCTTAAATCGTGGCAATGCTAACATATCAAAAAGGAAAGTTCAATTCAATTCAATTCAATTTTTATAGCCCTTAATCACAACAGTAATTATCTTTACAGAGCTTTACAAAACTGGGATTGGCCAACAGAGATCAGAGAATCAATAGGAGCGCATTAAAAGTCAACACACACCTCTTTCTAAATACAAACCATAATGCAAAATTGTCTTTGATGCCTGTGGACAGCAGCGGCTTGCGAGACTACAGAGGTGATCTATGATGATGTTCCAAACGAGGACCTCCTCTCTCCCGACGAAGGTTAGATCACTTTGTTTATTCAGACTATTTTCTGTTTGAATGGCTCTGCTCCAAATTATAGATGTGCATTTCTGTGTGTGTGTACGTGTGTGTGTGTTTGTTGCTGAGCAGATATGATCTATGAAGACGTTCAAAGTAACACCGGCCGAGCGGCGGCTGCAGACAATGGATGGAGCTCCAGCGAATTCGAAAGCTACGACGAACAATCCGATAACGAGAGCAAACAGCCGACACGAAGCAAGGTAGTATTACAGTATGGACACATTGCCACGGGACATTGCTTTATCGATATTAAGTTTACTTTCTCGCACAACGAGGACTAGCAATTGTGGAGGAATCATGTGGCATTAAAGTAAACAAATGGCTCCTCTGGTTTGGAAGCTCTTATTCTTGTTTTATTGCCAGGTCTGCTGTAGCTGTGCAGAGGCTTTCTCCTGAGTGCTCTTCCACATGATGGCACTGTGAGCACATTCACATTGAGCTGCATTGCCTTCACGCTCCACTGTCTAGAAATGCACAGGGGCCGGGCAGACATTTTCATTATAAACAACAATAGAAAGACGAAGTTTTGAGCCGAATTGATCACAATCAGATTATAACTTCAGGCTACATAGCACTTGAAGTCTGGTGAAATTCACAACCAGGCTGTTAAAAAGCCAAAGCCATTTTTATTAAAGTTACTAGATTAACAGTGGGGGTGTTGGTGACAGATGTAGATTTCCTCTATTTTGTATTTTGGTAATTACAACGGTGCAACTAGACTGCGTGAACAATTATTGCCAACGCTTTAAAATACTGAGCCAGTTTGTCTGCGTGCGGCTTTCATCACAAAACGCCCTTTTTAATCAGTCACGCCTAATTAATTTTTTAACAAGTGTTTCTAAAGTTGCGCCTTTACTGCAGTTCATTGCTTAATTTGTTCATTGGAGAACAGTGACATAGTTTGTTTTCCTATAAGCCGCCTGCACCCCTGTGTCGTGCTGTTACAAATGACTAGCCATTAGCCTCATCTAGCATATCCCCTTTGACCGAAGCTTTTACTTTCTGTGCTCATGATTAATTCCTGATGTTGCATGAGTTTTTGCCCTTCATCTCTATTCTCTTCATCCTGTCCCTGCTTTCCCCTATGCTTGTCGTGACTAAAATGCTGCCTGTGCCTTTCCCTTTCCCTGTGACCCGGCCATGACCATAGCTCTCCCCCGATGTTCTCCGCCTGAGAGAGCGATGTGCCAGGACCAAACGCGAACTGGCTACGAGGCTAGCCGGCAAGCACAACTATGACATGAAGGTATCGCACCTGCTGATATAATACTCTATGCCTAACCATTCTCACTTTTTCTTTGTGGTGTGCTCGGCTAACTCCAAGGCTTATTGACAGCCTGCACTATAAACGTTTCAGCTTTCATTGTGCTGTCTGTGTTTCAAGGCAGTCTGCATATCTCTCTCAGTCCCTGCTACGTTCCAGGTTTAGCTTAATGGGAGTCATTCGCAGTGTGTTTTTTGTGTGACTGCAATTTAGGATGAGCCTGGACTGGCCTGTCACACTAATAGTTGTTGGTAGTGTGATTTATTGCCTCTGAAAATATCACAAAAAATCATTATATTGAATACACTTGCTTGTTCCATTCTGTTCAGCACATTGTTATTGTAGGACTATTCCGTGTTGTATTCTGTATCCATATCCACTAATGGTTCTTATAGTCGATGGCTGATGACTGAATAATAATATTAGAAATACTCTGGACAAATATGTACACAATACATAATCTAATCGGAGAGCATGTACAGTATCTCTCACATTTCATCAAAATAAAACAAATAAAAGAGCACCACGCGTTTACTGTAATGAAAGCAGGTAAGTATGCATACGCAAGTCTGTACTGTTTCTAGATAAACCTCAGCACATTTGGTTTTAGTGCTTGGGCGCTATAATTGTCTCAGGCAGGACGTTTCTAGCAACAAATGTTGGATTGCAGCTGTGACTTTAATTAACTAGTGAGGGAGTCTACTACTTTAATTCTGTATTAGTGAATAACCAGCCCAATAAATGGTGACATGCCCACATGCCTACACAATTCCATAAACAAGCGGGTTAAGAGATCCTTTATTTGTCCCATAGTAGGGGGAAATCTCAGTGTTGCTTTGCCGGTTACAGGACAGTAGGAATGAGGAGCACACAGCACCAGATAAGTGAACAGTCCCTCTATACAAAAAAAAAAAAAAATCTATAACTTCTTTATCCATCCATCCATTTTCTCCCCCTTAATCTGGGTAGGGGGGGTGGCAGTCAGAGCAGCACCCAGTACACTTAGTACCAGCCGCTCACTGATCCCTCTGCAGGTGGTGAATCCACAGGAGCCTAAATCTTGCATCTGGGGCTTTTGGGCAAAGAGGGGTTAAGTGTCTTGCCCAAGGACACAAGTGAGAGTCATGAAGTAGGTCTCGTGGTGGATTCGAACCTACAACCTTCAGGCCCAGAGGCCGATGCTTTACCAACTGATTCACTGTCAGCGTAATAAAGAAGAAAGTCTAAAATCTTTATCTTTAGCATAATAACAAAACTAATCCAAAATATTTTACTTTAGCATAATAAAGAAGAAATTCTAAAATCTCTGACTTTAGCATAATAAAGAAGAAATTCTAAAATCTCTGACTTTAGCATAATAAAGAAGCACATGTAATTTATCTGGTTTCAGCAAAATAAAGAAGCAAGTTTAAAATCTCACTTTAACATAATAAAGAAGCTGTTAAAAATGATTGACAGTAAAAATGCTGTCAATTCTAGTGCCAGAAATATATAAATGGCTACATCTGTACATGTTAGCAGCATGAGGGCTGGGACAAAGTGACAGACGACACATGTGGTTTTATATTGCACATTCTGACATTAAACAGGTGGTATACAGTGAATTACCACCCCACCGAAGCACTTTACACTGTGTCTTTTCCTTGTGCAGTCCTTTAAAGAGCCTCTTATGCTTCTCAGGGTGGAATTCGTGGTCAGCAAAAATCTCCCTCATAGATCTATTATTACGTTACGAAGCCCATGCTGTTACCATAATCTCCCCATGATATGCCCGTGTAGCCGCCCTGATTAGGGGCTGTTCGCGGCCTACGGGGAGTCGCAGATGGTAAGATTCTAGACGAGCCTTGTTGAGCTGCTTCTCGTGTATCCATCCATCGCCGCTCGTCCATTTTTAGGTGATCTAGCCTCCGCACCAGCACAGCACTTTGATCGCACGCTAATACCTCCCTCTCCTCTCCTGGTGTCTGCTTTCTTCCAACCAGGTCCAGCAGCTTATGAAGGCGGCCAAGAGTGGGACCAAGGATGGGCTGGAGAAGACCAAAATAGCCGTTATGAGAAAAGTGTCCTTCCTACAAAGAAAGGACCAATTTGGTAATTACTCCAAAGTAGCGTGCATGATTTTTAGCTCCACATTTCTGTGCGGCTCAAGAACCTTCCCAGTTGGTCACCTCATATTGGTCTTTAGCTTAATAAAATGGATCAGGAGTCATTACCAAGTGAAGGCTTGTAACTTATTATTTGCTACCATGGCATGTCATACATTTATTTTGTTCTCATAATGAACCCAAAATGTTATTAGTAATAATTTTATGTAGCTTTTTGCTAAATTAACAAAAAACGGAACCAAATGAAAACAGACCTAGTAACAAGTCTTTTCATCGGTGCCCAGTGAAGGACGATATCCTTCACTTTGGAGGATATCGCCCTATTCTCCAAAGGGAAAAGGGCTATATACCAATGTGGCTTCCAGAAATAATTGCCCATCCCTGCTCTGTGGACTTATCTTTCAACAATTGATCGGTGGTACCAGATATTTTGGAGGAAGATAAATATTGGTCTTGTGTGTTTTATTTGCAAAGGTGGGAGATATTCTTTTTAATACAATATCAATATACACTGTAGAGGTTCGATTAACTTTGAATCACTAACTAATGGTAAAGAAAAAAGCAATTATTTATGGTTGTTATGTCACAGGGATAAAAATGGCTTAAATACGATTGTTTTATACTGTATCTTTGTAATAACAAATTATCCATTCGTTAACATGATGCACTGAGCGAAGGCATCTTTATTTTTAAATGATTACTTTGCAATGGATTAAATGGTATAAGCAAGCATAAACATATAAACTAGCATTGAGACTGCCTTATAGATATTCCGAGCCACTGATTATTATAGACAAAGTTTGGTATTGGTATTGATGCTCATAGAAATCCTCAACTCCTTTACTGTTAGTCAATACAAAAGCCCTGGCTCACATCTTTCAATGTTATAAAACAGTGTTTTTCTCGTATCATTATAAATTTGTTCACATTGCAAATTTACTTTTCTTCTTTATTGATGATAAAATACCTTTGATATTCTGAGCAGATACTACTTCAATTTTCGGTTCAGTATTCTCTCTCATGTGAAATAGCCTTGTGCTATTTTTTGGTAATTTTTCCTTTTTAACATTGAACAGAAGAGGAAGACGATGCAGGCTATTTGGATGTGGCCGTGTCCGAGGTGAAGCATCCTCCCCCACAGCTGAGCCCGATGCCAGAAGGACTCTCCAGCCATCAGGTGCACAAAACTCACTCCTGTTAAACTTTTTTGCAATAATGATTTAACCAGTGTTATCCATGGAACTTTTTTGAAGGAGACATACTGTGTTATATAGTTGAATTATGAGTCATACAGATACGTATACATTTTGACCATTTAAGATCTCAGTTCAGGTTGCTTTCAAACTTTGTTTATATCAAATTTTCATACATTATCCAATTATAAAAACAAACAATAACCGAATTAAAAATATTTTGTGAATAATAAGAATTAGTTTTAACAAATGACAAGCAAATGAATAAGTAATTAAGACATTTCACACTGAAAACTTTAATCATGTCTTATTTCTTTAGAAAGTCAAGTAAAGAAGCCCACCTCTCTTCAAAGTGCGTTCCTTACCCCTTACAACATATGCTAACTTCTCTAGAGTAAGACATTTACCATAGTTAACAGGAAAGATCAATCTGCCCTTCATCATAAACAAAATAAGCTCATGGGAATGGAATGTTGTGATGTCACATGGATGCAACCTATTGCTCTCAAATCCATTTAGTACAAAATCAAATGTTCTTTTCATAAAATCCCAATATTGTTTAGCGTCACCGTAAAGGTCATTATTTTAGCCCTGCTCATCGCTGCAGATCACAGTAGCAGATTTTTTTCTATTTGAGCCAAAATGTGTGTCATATGTAGACTGCCTCACACTCGTATGCACACAAATAACAAAATCCTCCAAAGTGATCACAGTTCCAATAAAAAGTGAAAAAAACAATAATACGGTTAAAGGGTCTTAAAATGCAGTTGTAATAGTTAAAGTTATGGCCGTTATGGTAAAACATTCTCAAACATTTATAACGGCATCATTATGTAAAGAAAAGAGCGTGGCTGGATATTGATTGAACACCTTTTTAAATTATGTTGATGACAATAATGATAGATAACAAGCTTCCTAAAATGTGATGCTAATTGAATTTATTCTGGCCAATCATCTCTAAATGATTATTTGTTAAATGTGTCTCCTGCTGCTTTTATTAGACTTCTGTCAAACATAACTGTGGCTTAATGTGTATTTCAAAATGAACTCCTGATTCAACACCTGACACTTTTGTTTAAAATGCAAAATGTAAAAGTTTCTGGTGCATGATTTGCCAGACCGGTGTCCATGAAGAAGTTATTTGTTTTCTTTTGTTTGGTTTTTGTTCGGACAGAAAAGGATTGCCAGCCGATTCTAGTCAAATCTGATACATGAAAAAATACAAAATCTAAAATGTTGAGTTTCACCAGAAATTATGTTTATTTCCTTATTACAGCTGTAAAAGTGTGATGCTCTCCGTTTACTGTACAATTTAGCAAGTTTTCTAATCAGATAAAACCTTTTCTTCCTCAAAATATGACTTATACAAGACTTTTTCTCTTGGGACACACGTCATATTAAATTAGGTATTCCAGCTTTAATCTACCCCCGTTACATCACCATGGAGACAAGCAGTTGGCGGACCCTTTGTCATGAAATTCACAGTGTGTACTTTGAACTGGCCTTTTTTCTGTATCCGTGTTTGGATTTCTCGATGAATCGACTTGGCTCCGGCGCAAAGTGACCTTCTCCTCTGGTTGGTTGTCCATTCCTCTGCTGACAGTCATATGGTTACCGAGCAGTCCATCAAACCGCTCCGCACTAAGCCGCTCTGATGTGGTCCTATCATGTCCTTTTAGCGGTGCGTCTCTTGACTTGCCATTGTTTGCCTCCACAGGTTGTCAGGCGCCATATCCTCAGCTCTATCATTCAGAGCGAGCGCAGCTACCTCGAGTCCCTGCGAAGGATTTCACAGGTGAGCTGTTCGGTCCCTGTTGTCTTCTCCTGCCACATGCAATATGCAGACAATTATGCTGATAGGTACAACGCCCATGAAAGGCGGAAGAAGCGGTATCTGTCAAATTAGAAACGCGTCTAAACACAGATACAGCTGCCAGAATGACTGTCGCTTTTTCTGTGCAGGAGAAATGGGAGAACAGAGGCAGAGGATTTATACGTTGACAAATAATGGGGTGTAGCATCCAGAAATACACTGCAAAAAGTGATGAAGAATAATTCAGGTGTGGATTAAAATGCTTTCTCAATTTAATCCACACCTGAAATTCTTCTACGGGGATCAATGAAGTATCCGTCTATCTTAATTTGAGCACAATATGACTGCTTTAAAACAGGATTTGCCAAAGGAAAAAAGCTAAATTAATTAAGAAATGTCTCCCTTGGAATGAGAAAAAAAGCAATAGTTCTTGAAATTGTCCCATTGGCAAATTTTGTTTTGAGACAATCAGAATGTACTACGAGTGTGACGATATATCGATTTTTTGATATATCGCGATACTTTCTCCCGCAATTCCATTATTGATATGCATTTGCCAAGTATCGATATCAATTTTTTTAAAAATTGGTATCAATACTTAATATACTATATACTTAATATAATACATTACGCATCTCCATTACATTAATCGTGAAATAAAGTGTATTTTTTCTTTTATTTATGCCATAAATTGGCATATTGTATATTTCTGACCAATATATCGATAATCGTCTTATCGTGATAAATCGTTATCGTGATTTCGTTATCGTGATAATATCGTTATCGTAAGCTTTGTATCGTGTATCGTATCGTGAGGTACACATTGGTTAGGGCTTGTGCTTCACAGCAAGAAGGGCCCATATATTCAACATGTTCTTAGAGGTAGAGGAAACTGGAGTGCCTGGAGGAAACCTGCACGGACACAGGAAGAACTAGCAAACTCCACCCAAGATTACTTACTTACTTACAATTTTCTCCCCAATAGAAATAAAACAATCCTAGCCAAAATAACAATAGAGCAAATTTTCACAAAACTCTTATTGTTGAAACATTTTTACGGTTTATAAATGATGAAAAAGATGAGATATAATGCTTCTGTTCAAGAACAAGAATGAAGATACTTACCATAAAAATATAATCACGTAATTTTCCCAAATGCAAGAGATGTTTTGCTTACTTTTTAGTCCCTTTTGTTTTCAAAGAACTTCAATTATTGCAATCTTTGTGATTTGCTAATTAGAACCACGTAAATTACGATTTTGATTGCGTTTAATGGTGCAGCCCTATTGCGGAGCTGCTTTTGATTGAATTCTGCAGTCCTCATTTATTATTGCTGCCAGGCCGGTGGAACAGTTGGTCATGTTATGCCGGCTGTCCATGTTCCTTCTTTCAAACATTTAAAATGCGAGAGCTCACTTGGTAAACATCAACAACGACAGCAACCACCACTGCTGCTGCTTGTAAAGAGTATTGTTGTCATTTAACGCTGTTTCCATCTTGTATTTGTGGCGTTAACATAATATTATCTGCATTTGAAGACGCTTTGATGTAAAGAGGTATGTTGACTTGCTTGGCTCCCACAAAGAGACTGTCAACTCATGTCTGCAGGCTATGCTAATATCCCCATGTGTGCCGACTGAAGAATCAATCATTGCCCTTTCACCATGTTTTCTTTTTCCTCTGTAACTCTGCTGGGAGCTGCTTTTGCCATTATGTTTTTGGCTTTTATGATATCAAAATACCTCTAGTTGCACACATGTTTCCTGGTAGCAAATGCAATTTCTGCAAGTCAAACACCTCTATCTAGAGTTAGACAGTTTTATGGCAGAGGGAACTAAAAAATTGAAATAAAGTTTTGTTTTCCAAGTGAGAGTATTAAAACGACGCCGTGAAGGCATCATTACAAAGTCAGCGATCAGAGGATGTTTGGACGGAGCCAGTATACACTTTGCTTTCTTCAGCACCTGTTCCTCCCAAAAAAGAGGGATGGTCTCGGAGTATTCCTCCAGTGGTGTTTGAACAAGTTTTTACAATACTCTGCCACTTATGTCTCTTTTATTTTTGACTGTTCTTTCGTTACCACACCAATTATTTCTAAATACGCTTTTTGGACTATACACTTTTATTTTTAATTCAAATGAACAATATTTTTTATGGGGTCATAAGTTATTATACAAGTTAATCTGGTCGTGTTTAAAATGTATCAAGCAATGCACAAGAAATGTCAAATGTTGTCAAGTTTCTGTAACTATTTTTAGTTTTGAGCTCAAAATAGTGTCTTGTTGTGATACTAGTTTTACTACTTGATACTTATCAGTACTTTTGAAAACTTTAATTTGGACAATAGGTTTTAGAAATATATAATTTAAGGGGAATCCATGTAAAATAAGTTGTTTTCCCCCTATACCTCTCTATATCTGTCCTATTCTATTCAATTCAATTTAAATTTTGTATTGGCCTAAATTACAACAGTAATTATCTCGAAAGATTTTATAAAACTGTTGAATGCCCCAACGCAGATCAGAGAGTCAAGTAAATCCAACACAGGAAATGCAATGTTTAAAAAATACAGAGCCATTGGTCCATAAGGAGCGGATAACCAACGTCTATAAATGTTGATAAAATCCATAAATGTTGTTGAATGTCGTATGTCCTTGGATCCTCCTGCATCAGCAAGAAAAAACTAGCCCTGCTGAAGGATACAATAATTTCTGTTGAAAGTGGACTTTGACCTCCTCATAATTCCTGTTTTCCGTATTTTTTTCAGGAATACCACCGGCCCTTGTTGGAGGCTGACCCCCGCATCATCAGTCCCAGGAAGATCCGCCCCATATTTTACCGAATAAGAGAGCTGACGCAGTGCCACTCCATGTTTCAAATCGCACTGACATCTCGAGTATCGGAGTGGGACAGCAGTGAAAAGATTGGAGACCTTTTTGTTGCATCGGTCAGTATACAATTTTATATCTACAGTTGTGCTTTACTTTTCTCACACAGGCAGACATTATTGTATTTTATTGTTTTTTTGGGCCATATTTTGAAATCACTTTTTTTCACTCATTTTTCTTGAAGCCATTTCTTGTCAGACATATTCAAATCATAATCGCAACAGAAACTACTCTTCTGATCCTGATGGTAAAGCTGCCCATTCTTCTTGAAATAACGGCTCCTGTTCCTGTAACATTAGTGACATTAGTTCAAAATACATTTTTTGCACGGATACACTAAATGTGAGGTCAGTTCGGCAGTGTTTGTTAATCCTCATTGTTTGATAAATGTCTGTATTTATAGCAATTACTTTTTAAAACAAAGTACTGTAGTATATCTGGCACAGTAAGTAATAGGGATCCACAAAAAAAAAATATTCAAGCTGTTACAGTACAGTCGGTCTACCCTTCTTCCCATTGGAATGGTTCTTCCCTTCTCTGATTTGTATTTGCAAAAAAAAACCTGGAGAATTGCTTGCCATGCCTGCCCTCTAATACACAGCCGCCCAGTTCCTCTTTGCATGACCTCTTAAATGGCTCGTGAAGGAGACTGTGATGGTAAACAAGCCACTTTTTAAAGCATTTTACTAACTGGTTCTTTTCAGCCACTCTTTTCCATGAAATTACCTTTTGCCTTGCTCAGAAAACAGGATGGTTAGCAAGGCATTTTGAGACGTCAGGGAAAATTACATGAATCTGTGCGTGAAGGCAAGGGGCTGGAATAAAACATGGCAGACCACTAAACAGTTTCATTGTAAAACTGTTGTTGCACATTTGTTTTAATTTGCTTGTTTCTGTTTCCTCCCACAGTTTTCCAAGTCCATGGTGCTTGATGTTTACAGCGATTATGTCAACAATTTCACCAACGCCATGGCTCTGATTAAAAAGGCCTGCATGTCTAAGCCTGCATTCCTGGAATTTCTTAAGGTGAGCTCCAACTTTTAATTTATCTCGGAAATTTGGACACTGGATCTTGAGTAAGGTTTGTGAAACAAATTGAGTTTCAATACAGGCATTAAAATTGCTGCACTATGCAATTAAAACATTTCACAAGATTAATTGTTAAAGATGCAAAACCCCATTTTTTTTAATGAGTTAATAAAAATGCTTATTACTACATACAAGTTGTATTATAATCCGTCATTTAATTGAAAACTTGACCTCATTGATTCTGCTGTGTATAAATTCAGGCCGTAAAAAATGCTGAGTAGAGACTTAGTGTGACGATTGATCTCCTCCAATCACAGAACAAAGGGGCGTCCTCTAGCCTCTACAGCGCTGCTAAACACAGTAGCATGTTAGCAGAATTGGCTATAACTCCTCTTGCTGTAACTGCATACACAACAAAACAGCCCAAACAAAACAACAGTGAGGAAGAGAAGAGAGAACTAAAGCGAAAAAATGATCAAAGAAGAAATCATGCCCGGGTGAACATAGCTAGCTTACATCGTATCCTCTGGAGAGACTTGTCTATGGGAGAGACCTGCAGGACCGCCTCGGACTATATATGCTCGGACTGTATTCGGACGCGGAACTAGTGGTAATCTTCCAGTTATGTATTTTGTTAGCAGTGCGTTGCTTTTGTACCATTTCATCAGTGATTGCTGTACAGCTTACAAGAAGTTGCGTTCATGCTAATGTTTGCATACGTATCAGATCGCAAATACAACTATAATGAGAATGAAAATGAAAAGCATGTAGGTGAGTTGAGGGGCGGTGCTAAACATTCCAACCTTGCAGAATTGGGTATAGCTCCTTTAAGATAAATAAATTATGATTGGCAGAATTAGTAAAAATCCGATGGTGCTTTTGAAACCTATTCATGTTATCAATATGTCAAATAATTCCTTTGTTTTTGACATGATTGTTGGTCATGTAGTGTCCAGGTTTGGATCAGCCGAGGCTCTGATCCTGATCAAATCGAACCAAAGACAGCTTGTGTCGTCTTTGTTCAGGTCCATAAAGCTCCTGTGGTCTTTAGAGCACCCAGGACCATTTCCATTGATTTTCATCACGCCTGGCTCTGCAGACGGCTGCGTGCTCAGGGCACAGTTTGGCCTGTGTTTACAAAAAGTGGGCTTTGTGATATTTTCCTCTTTTAGGTCAAAGTCTGTTGGATCTGCTCTTATACAATGTATTTGTCGTGCTCACTGAACCACTGAACACTGAACCACTAAAATAAATGTAATCCGAATACGAGAAGTAAAATAAAATATGGCTTTAGCCTTGGAAAGGGTTTATTGTTTGTCTGTTTTTAAAAATATTTATCATATCATTATTATCCTCTCGGTGGTAAGTTTATCCACAAAGAAAAACACATGAAGACAAATCTATTCAACTTTTAAGACTTTAATCTGTCTGGCAGCAGCTTCCAACCTTGCCTGTGTTGTCTGACAGCCCGTGGTTTCAGTGGACTGTGTCTGATGGTTGTACCATTTTAAACAAGACGCTTCCAGTTCTGTGAGTGGCGACAACACAAACCCACCTGTCAGGATGCATTATGGGCCATGCTGTGCTGATCACTGAGCAGTCAGGTGAAATATCATGATGCGCTCATTCACCGCAAAAATATATAGAATATACAGTAAGTTAATAATTGCTTGAATCAAGAGTATATTTCCTTAATTTGAGCACATTCTGACTGTCTTAAAACAAGATTTGCCAACGGGAAAAAGGCATTTAGTCTTATTTCAAGAACAGTTGCTTTGTTTTCTCATTCCAAGGGAGACTTTTCTTGTATCTTTTTAAAACAAGATATTTTTGCTCGTCCCATTGGCAAATCTTGTTTAAGCCCGTCAAAATGTGCTCAATTTAAAGCTACCCTGTGTAATTTTACCAGTTGCTCCATATGTAAAACAAGTTAACTAATAGCAAATATGACCTTTTTAAGGATGTTTACCTCCACTATGTTTTTTAAATTGTTTTAATAAATGTCCATGAGAACAGAGTACTCTCCCTGTCAATGCGCCATCTTGAAATACAGTGGCGGATAAGGGACAAAAAGGATGCGAGAATCGTGTTTTTGTTTTGCTTTCATTGTGCCCTCACAAGTTTGAAGAAGGAACCATGGAGGACCACAGTTATGCAAAAGAACAACCCGAACAACTGTGTTTTAGAAAATGTATTATGCAACAGTCCGACGTCATATAGCAAAGTGTCAACATCGCAAACCACCCGCACCGAAAGGCAGAGTTAATACAACAGGAGGCACGTTGTGTAGTTTGTACACAACAGACTTACACGTAAACAATACGTAAATTTCTTCACACACCAAATAAGAGAACGAGTAATGAGAACGACGCACGGGTCTACAACACGGGTCTCAGGATGTTCTGACCTCTCCGAGCGCAGTCCAACTACTATGGCAAAAGTTTCAACTAAACTTATTCAGGGACAAGCCTCAAATATGCAAAACACACAGACAATCGCCAGGTTACTTTACCAGCAGCGTGAGTGAATGTTCTGTTTTCTTACTATGATGCAGATATGGCGCTGTGGCTAACGCTAATAATAACATGAGCTTTTAGCCATGTCCTGCCGCGGCCGTGTATATGTCCTGCTTCTCTGATCATTGTAGTTTTAAGCTCCCGCAGACATTAATCCTCCATGTCTCTTCACACCACGTTTGTAAAACTATATATTATAATAGATCCATGGTAAAATTCAGTGCAGCCTCTGTGCAGGGTGCCGCTTCAGAACGCGGTCTTGTTTACATGTCGCCTCCATGCGACTGTCAAGTGCCCGAGACGTTTGGAGAGATCTGGTCATTTATTAAACTAAAGTATTCTTTCCTTGGCAGTCTGGTGAATGACTGAGAGTTGAGGAGCACTGTCAAAGACACATATTTTCTATCGAAGGTTTCTCTAGTTTCTTGGACAGCAATATATGATCTCAATGCTAGATGGCAGTAAATAATACACAGTGTACCTTTAAGATGCATTTTATTGACTTACTTTTGAATCAGTTTTTGCAGTGTACATGGGCTGTTTGGTGTGGTTTTTTGAAAAGGTTGCATGTGTGTGTAAATAATGATAATGAATTGGATTGAATTGAATAACACAAAAGGGTTTATTGGTATTTCACATTACTTCTGTATCCTTTATTTTACCAGGAAATGCTATTCAAAAGTGGTTTTAAGGTCAAGAGGCAGCAAAAGCACAATCAATAGATCTAACTCTTGAACAGACAGGTATAAAGCATGTACAATTTTAGGTCAACAACATATTGGTTGGTTATGGCAAGGCGAGTTATATTGCAAAATTCATAGACAAAGCAACCCAAAGTGAGCATTAAATCCCTCAGTTGTATGCACAGCTTGATCTTGAACATTGCTAGAGAAGAAGCCTGTCTCACATTTTCAGAAAGACTGTTTTCCAAAATTTTTGCTGCATGAATCTCCCTATGTTTAGCCTTCCCATGCAGCCTCCCCATGTTTAGTTCCGACTCTGGTCTCAACAGTAGGCCAGTGTCTGGACTCCTCAGAGTCCGAGTTACATATTTTTGGCGGCATGGTGTTTCTTTGTTAAATTTGCATGTACTCCTCATGCTTCTGCAGGTTTCCCTCAGGTGCTGTGGTTTCCTGAGCCTCAGGATTTACCAATTTAATCTACTGATCTTTCTGATTTCAGATCACAGATTGTGATTAGAAAGGAAGTTTAGAAATGCCTGTAGATTATCAAAAGATCAAACTGTTCCATTGAGTTTGAGTTCTTATACCATGCTTGGCCTCAGATACTAAAAACATGATTTATTTTTTGTCTCCAGAAAAAGCAGGCGTCCAGCGTTGACCGAATAACGCTGTATGGTTTGATGGTCAAACCCATTCAAAGATTTCCACAGTTCATTTTACTTCTTCAGGTAAATATGTGGTGGTATATATTCCTTTAGAATGTAACACATCTGTTTAATCTGTGACAGAAGATTGATATTTGAAGATGTACGAATATGTAATAAGATACAAGTTGAAACTACATTTAATCAATTGTGGCTTTAACTGGTCTTAGAGATGAAAGCAAAATAAACATTTATTGGGGAGTTTGCCAGTGTGTGATGTTTGTCTTATGTCAGAGGCGTCCTCTCTCTTCAAGCAAAGCTGTGGATTTGAGCTTCACTTGCTGGATCTGCAGTAGCTCATTTCATCCCTCACTGGGCATAGATTATCCATGAATGCAAAAGATAAGTTATGAATGTGAATCAGGGATTTTCACCTGGTCTAAACGGAGCACTCCAAAGGGGAGACTTTATTAAATTCTTCATTACTTTGAAGTTTGGGTCACAGTGACTCATGCTCTTGAATAAAAGCAATTTGAGATTAAATCTTGAAATATATTAGTGTTAACTAATCATGTGTTCCAAAGTATCTTGTTATTTTATTTCTTTATTTAAAAAAAATATGTTTCATGACTTTGATGATGGATGAACACAAAGTACATTTTTGATGAATTGTTTGTTTATGTGCGTTAAATGTTGAGCATTATGTGTGGAAGCCAAACAATCCACATCTCTGCAAACTGAAAGACACTAAAAGATAATCATGTAAAACTATATGGAAGCACGTGTAAAATGACAGAATAATTTAGTTATTTTTTTAAAACAAAAACCTGTGATATCCTTGTGTGTAAACTCCCAGTTTCTGTAGCAGATTTGATGTGAGTGCGTTGCTGTTTCCAGGACATGCTGAAGAACACTCCGAAGGGTCACGTGGACCGCCTCCCGCTGCAGCTGGCTCTGACCGAGCTGGAAGCGCTGGCTGAGAAGCTGAATGAACAGAAGCGCGTGGCTGACCAGATTGCAGAGACTCAGCAGCTCGCCCGCAGTGTAGGAGATCGACTGCTCAGTAAGGTACACATCCCACTGCCCACTGTACCTTATCACCACCAACATTTAAATTAAACTGCTATTGCTTTCACCAGCTCATATCGTCTCCTGCTTATTAATCTGTTATCGTACATGACATGACTAAGCACAAGCCTATTCTAATAACATTCAGAAATTGCATTTCTGCCACCTGAGCACATGAGAACAAATGCACATTGGAATAAAGGTATTAGGGCTAAATGAGACATTTAATTGGAGGGTGTTAGAGGCGAGCATCTTGTGCACCAGTCACGCTGCCTCCCTGTCTTTCACCAGCTCCCACCTCCCAAGTGCACTTGGCTGCTCACACTTTCACTCTTATTTTCTGCTGTTATGCAGCTGCATCTCTTCTTCTCTTCTTTATTTCTGTGGATTAGACTTCGCTTTCTTAGAGATGAGCTGATTCGGCCAATCTCCACAGTTGCGCAAAATATTCCATTTGGTGCGGTGACACTGCAGAATTCCAATAGCAAGCAGCCGCCTCTATTACCCCCATAACCATCCAATGAAATATTCATTTTGTCCTAAAGTATCCCAAGTCACTGAAATGGGACAGATAATAATGGAAGTTGGAATGTCACATTTTCTGCTGTGAAATAGTAAAGCATTCTCCCTGTCTCTCGGGAAGCCTTTTGGTTTTTAATTTTATTATTTCCCTCAAAAATAGAGTTTGGGGTGGACAAGGGCATGTGACCATGGACCATTCTGTTATACATTTTTTTATTTTTTTATTTAACAATATATACACTTATTGGGTTCAAGGTTGCCCAATGAATGACAAATGTTTTGATTAACATATTTATATCTTGAATTGCAAACAAATTGTGTAAAAAGGTCAATAAAGGGGAACATTTGATGTAAGCACTTTAAAACAATGGAAGATTTTAGTTGCATTCATCTGAAATGCTGCCTTCCCATGTTTAGTCCTGACTCCGGGCACCAGCAGGAGGCCAGTCCCTGTGCTCTTCAGAGTCAGAGTTTCTTCCTTATATTAAACCATTCTCCTCATTTTATGTTTTTACTGCAGACTGCACAGTGAAAGTAGATGGGCGCTTTCATATAATTTCATAGCATAGCAACGCTCCGGACTGCAGCACAAGATGCTCAGAGACCACCTGTGCAGACTGATGCACTGTGCATTAAATTGAAAGTATTGATTCGGGCAGTCATAAAAAAGGCGGGAACAAAGTGATAAACAAGCCTTTGTGTTTGCCAAACATATGGATGAACAGGCGTGCCAACATTGCCTGAATTGCATTTGTTATTTGATTCTTTTAACTGTTTTAGCTTGTAGTTGCTCTCTGGAAAGGTGGGATTTTAGTATTAGAGCTGCAGCCAATGTGTTTTCCACGTGTGGTAATAAAAATGTTCCAATCTGTATAAATGCAAAAATTATCAAAGATAAAGCATCTATCGTGTATACCATGTTGTAATACAATTCATGTAGCTAGATCATTGCTATAAAAACTATTTGGTTCTATCTTTAGTTTTCATATTCATGTATTTTTGTCCTCTATTTATATATGTTAACAGCATAGACTGTAAATATTAACGTACATTGTGATGCCTATCTCCACCGTTGAAACTTATGTGGCATCCCTTTTCCCTCCTGCCGTTTTTTTAAAAGGCCCCAGAGAGGCCCCTCTTGCAGGAAAATGTGAAAAAACGCATTTGTGCGTGCATTTGCCGGCACAAGCTCAATTCATTTAACGAGTGATTTCAAAAGTACAAAGCGGCTAAACTAGTCTGGCTAAAAAAAACAAAAAACCAAGAGCCGACTTTTCCTTTTTGAGAAGAAAGAGGACGTAAGAATTCAGTGGATTATTCTGTTTCTGGGTTCAACACCACCGGCAAGGAGTCATGCATGTCAGCGTGCATGCTAATGGATCCTTTTTAGCTGGGACCCTCCCCGACTGGTTTTCAGTGAAATTGAGAATACCTGCCCTCACTCGACAGTCTGTAAAAGATATGATCTCTTATAAATAAGATAAAGATAGCAATTTAAGGTCTGTTTTGTTCATAAAATGTTACTGAAACAAAAGTCTTTCTGTTGGGACAAACAACATGTATTAATCAAACAAAAAGAAAGTTATCACATCGACCAAGCCGAGCACTGTGCTTCCGGTGGTTCCTAAAGTGTCAAAAAGCAAAGTCGGAGGCAGAGCGTTTAGCTACCAAGCTCCTGTACTGTGGAATCAGCTTCCCATTCATGTCAAGGAAGCAGACACAATTTTTACTTTCAAGGCCAGGCTTAACAGTCCTCTTTAATTTAGCATATGGTTAGGTAGGTAAAACTTATAAATGCAACTTTATGTCTAAAAGCTGCACATGGAGACAAGTTGCTGGGAAGTATGGTAACATGTGTTTGAACTGTTTGATTCTCTTATCTGTTATTATTATTAGTTTATTTGACAGGGACATTACACATTAATGAACATTTCTGTAAATGTGTCAGCATTAGCTGCAAATCTAGTTTTCAGCTGCTGTCCCTGGGCAAGGTGTATAATGCCAACAACGATTATAAAACAAAACAGTTTAAAAATTGAGGCTACATACTTACAAACAAATGTTGATATAATTCATACATTGATAAAATCAGAATGTTCGTTCTGTAATTTGCACAATAGAAAGGGGATTTTTGTGCAAGGGCAGGTTGTACAGTTGAAACCAAAGACATTATTAGGATAAATGTGTACAGTTATTTACAAGAAAACACCTGTGCAGAGGATCCTGATACTTGGATCAGTCCTGTACCATCTGTGTTGGCAAATCAACAACTTGATTGAGTCCACCGAGATAACTACTGTTGTGATTTAGGGCTAAAAAATAAATAAATAATTGAATTGAAAGTTGGGTACTGCGGCTCCGTGATCAATTGAAAAATAAATAGTTAAAAAATACATAATTTGCACTGACTAATTAATTATTAATATTCGATTCATTCATGATTTATTGTTCATATTTTCTATATTTCTATTTGTTTTTTATCATTTTGTTATTTTTTATTTTCTTGTGTCTTTTGTTTATTTTATTTTTGCCTTGTTTTATTTTCTTTTTTTGGCACAAGGGGAGCATAGTAGGGAAAAAAATGGAAACAATAAATAAAAGGTGTCCGGTTATGCTGTATGTATTATGGAAAAAAGTGTGAACTAATAGTGACACAATAAAGTATTGATAGATAATTAAAAAAATATGCAGACCACTTTAGTCAATATTCACCCAACCAGGGAAAATCGTTTGAGCAGCACAGGGCATAAACACATAAAAACACATAGAAATGTGTTTTTATGTATCATACCGATACATAAAAATCATACCGAGTGGTTAATTAATAATATAACGTTTTTTGTTTACAGAGCTTTTCTATGTTTCCTCCTTTGTGAACTCCTGGCGTGACCTGAATGTGCTTCTAATCCTCACTGAGACGTGTGTTGCCCTGAACTCTGGGGATTGCTTTGTGCTGCTGTCTCGCTGGTCTCTGATCTTATTTTTTGTGTCCTTTTTAGCAACTGAACTCTAAACAGGGGTCGCTGGTTCTTTGTGAAACACTTATTGAGACCGTGTATGGTGAGCGGGGACAAGTTCTGAAATCGAAGGAGAGAAAAGTCTTCCTCTTTGATGATGTCCTCATCTGTGCAAACATAAATGTCAAGTAAGTCCCTCTTGTCAAGCTTTTTTCTTTGTTCGTAATATGCTAACATTGTACAGAGCACGGGTTTAGTCTAGCAAAGTTTTGTATAAAGTCAATGAAGAAATATTTTGCAGTGGCTAACTTTTATGTGAAAGAAAGATCCCCGTCAGACCTCTGAAGCTAAGCAGGGCAGGGCCTGGTTAGTACTGTGATGGGAAACCTCTGGGAACACCAGGTGCCACAGTGGGGCAGCTGCGGCTGAAAAGTACCAAAATGTTGTTGTGTTCTTAAGCAAGACACTTCACCCACATTGCTTAGAATGAGTCTGGAGTCTGGTGGTGGTGGGAGGGGCAGATGGCATGTGAATCATCTTTGAGTGTCAAAAAGAGCGCACAATATAAACAACATTATTATTATGCTATTTGCCTGTCTTATGCTACCACCAGATACATTTTTTTTTGAAATCTTGATATTAGCCTGTATAAAAAATAAAAATAAACTTTAGGTCTGTTATTTGATGAGAGAACAATGTTATAACTTGGTTCAAAGCTTTTAGCATACTTTAAAGGCAAAATCTGCTAAACTACTGTCTCAGAAATAGCCGTTAGGTGGCACAGAGCTTTAATGTGATGCTCTAGGTATTACAAGGATATTCTGGCAAACCTCATCGTCAAGAGAAATGGCTGCAAGGGGTTTTGGGCACTATCAGGAGTCGCAGGAGCTTTATCAGCCTTAAACAAATGGTAGAATGCCTAACTACAGCAACAGGAGCTCTAGATTACTGACATAAAACATTTTTTGGTTCCTTTCCAATTTATCTTCTGTGACAGCACCATAGATCACATCTCGCCCTCCCCACTCTCTTAGCAGCAGTAAACAGGAAAAGGATTACGTGAATTTTGCAGAGCTCCTGTCAGAGAGGTTGCCTCAAGCCTTTTCATTCAGGCGTCACTGTAATTATCCGTCGACGTCTTATTCAAGTGGAGTGTACGAAAGTTGACTTTGTCTGCCCTCCACATTCTTGACAAACTGATCACAATGTTGATTGTCTGCGTGATTACAGGAATACATGAATACAGATGAACTCCTAGAGAGCAGCGAGAACGTGAGTGCGGAAAGTCAGAAATTGTTCGTGGCATTTAGAAAAACGTGACGACAGAGTGAAATGTACCTTTTTAGGAAGAAGATCAGACTGACAAATTACAAGCTTTAAAAAACTTACAAGTTAACCTACACACTTCTATGAATATTTTCCTGGACAAGTAGATAAAGTTTTTAATTTATGTTATTATTTTTTGCGCTTAATTTAATGCGTGACTCATTTAGAATCAAGGGGTGGGATTCTCTGATTCAGTCTAATGTCAAATGTATGTTCTATATTGGAATGAACCTGTCTGGAATATGAACCAATAAATAAACGTTATATTAGAGCAAGTGTTTTTAATGATGATAATAATAATGCATTAGTTTGTATCTAGCACCAGTCCTTGTGCTCCTTAGAGTCAGAGTCAAAATTGGTTCATATGATGGCAGGGAAAAAAACATCCTCAATTCTCCAAACAAAAATTCAAATGTATATAAACATAATAATAAAGTACAAATGCTGCTGACTTTGAGAATGACACTGTCGAAGAATGTGATTATATGATTGTGGCTAATTACAAAATAATGACTTCAATTTCTCTCCACCAGGGGGTCTCCCGATATCAGCAGCTTGGTCCCTGTCGGCCCCAAGTACACCATGAAGTGGAGTGCCCCATTACAACAGGTGCAAGTGGTGGAAGTCGGCCAAGAGGGTTCTCAAAGCAAAGACTCCTTCACCTTCCAGCCAAGTGGTGCTAAGCGACCTGCCATCTCGGCGTGCTCTTCAGGTAAGCAAACAAAACGGCAACCACTGATCCTCACCCACGTGTGTCATCTCCTCCGTTAATCTCATCTGTTTTTCCACGTCGGCTCTCTGACTCAGCACTGCTAATCTGTCTCCTCCCAAGTGCTCTGCTGGAGGGGCTGAAGACGCATCCTCCGCCGCTTGTCACTCTGATTGAGTACGTGTGAGCGCGAAGGATTGCGGATGACGGTCACTTGTTCCCGTCTGCCTAGGGTGTTTTATCTTGGACGAGACCGCTGCGGCTTCCCCAACAGTCTCATTTCACTCTCTGATAGACCACAAACACGTCGAGAGTGGAGTCATCAATCTGCACACATTATTCCCCTCTTTCCTTTGCGTGGCCCAATTAAGAAAGGCACAAAGGAGTATATGAGAAACCGGGGTTGAAACACAATAGCTCTACCCCTACTGCGAAATATTAGGTGTGTACCGAGCGAGATGGCGAGATCTAAATGTAGCATGGGGAAAGGAAGATGCAACGACTGATCTGGAAGTAATGATACTGATAACTAACATTGTACAGTATATGTAAGAGGAAGAGTGAGGGCTGATATGGGTTTGGTATGCGAGTCAGGTGCTGTTCAGGTTCCTCATTTCAAAAATAAAAAAATAAATTTTGAAGGGGAAAAAAAAGAGGAAGAAGCACTAAAATGACCAGTTTTTGGGGTACACTGATGGTGAGGAACATTTTTGCTCCAAAATTTGTAAGAGCAATAAAACGCCCGAGAGAAAGGATGGCTGTAATGTGTCGCATTTGGTTATAAAAATGCTGTGCCCTCTGTGGACTGGAACAAACTCAAAGAAAGGATAGGAGACAGACACACTGAGCGTTACCTTACAAATCGTCAGCCGAGTCTACTTAAAGTCGTTGGGACAAGGGCAATTCCATCATGTGAGATTCCAAACCAAGGTCTCAATGGACAATCCAGGGTTTGCCATGATGAAGACCTAATTGGACAAAACACGTTGGTGTGCCGGAATAATAAACGATTTTTACTTTAAAGTCAGTTGTGCCTCGGACCTTCTATTTTTCCCTTCCCTTGTGTATGTCTTGAGAACTTGGTTTGGAATCTCACATGATTTTCCCTTGTATCATGACTTAAAGTGATAGTCTGGAACTCTAAATGATTTATAAATTTTAAGAATTGTACTAAATTGACCTCCAGCCCTTAAATGTTGATATATAATAAGTCATTTTATGAATGCTATTCTATATTACGGGTAAGTCCCGCCTTCCCTTCTCTAATCTATAGCTCAAAATCCACGATACCGTCCAGTTTAACCAATCAAGTGATGCCAAGAATTCTGAAAATCTGCGCTGAGTTACCCATTTAAATACTGAACCTATTTCCATAATGAGATCCTCTGCAGATGTCCTATAATGTTCAATTAATGATAATAGCTACCTCCGTGTATACCGCAACCTCTTTTTTTGTGCATTAAAACGTTGTTTTTGTCATGAAAACGTTAACAAATAATTCTGAAAACCTCCGTGCATGTGTATTAATAATGTATATGTATAATGTGTTCTCAGATTAACATTTAAATGTGTTAGTTGATTGTTACGGAAACTTTGGCGTAGACCAATCAGAAAGGAAGGGGGAGGGAGCTTGGGTCGTTTTTTTTCAAATCATATACCTCTCTCTTTTTTTGGCAAACTCCAGACAATAACTTTAAAGTAGACTCAGCTGACAATTTTGAAGGTGTTTTAAGGTTAAATCCACAAGATCCGTTTTCGGAGCGAATAGAGTAGATGAAAATCCGTGGTTGAAACACAATAGCTCTACCCCCACTGCAAAATGTTAGGTGTGTACCGAGCAAGATGGCAAGATCTCTGATAAATGTAGCATGGGGAAAGGAAGATGCAACGACTGATCTGGAAGTAATGATAGCATTTTAAACTCACACTTCCCAGACATAACTAACATTGTATTTATCTTGAGACCTTGGTTTGGAATCTCACATGATGGAATTGCCCTTGTCCCAATGACTTAAAGTAGACTCGGCTGACAATTTGTAAGGTAACGCTCAGTGTGTCTGTCTCCTATCCTTTCTTTGAGTTTGTTCCAGTCCACAGAGGGCACAGCATTTTTATAACCATATGCGACACATTACATTCATCATTTCTCTAGAGCGTTTTATTGCTTTTACCTTTTTGGAGAAAAAATGTTCCTCACTATCAATCTACCCCAAAATCGAGTACTTTGAGTGCTTTATCATGGTAATGCAAAACCTTTCTTTTTTATTTTGATGTCCCATTGTGAAGTGTCAGACATCCTAGGTGATGCTGTTCTAAATCAACATGGGTGAATCCACAAAATCCCTCCTCAGAGCGAATGTCCATGTCTCCACTGTAAAGCAGTAACTTTGTAAGTAAGTAAGTAATCTTTATTTATATACCACCTTTTCACTGCAGATCTGAGTCTCAAAGCGGTTTACAATTGTTAATTATTGTGGGAGAACATGCAAACTCCACTCAGAAAGGCCCTGGTCCGACCGGGATTCGAACCCAGGACCTTCTTGCTGAGAGGCGAGAGTGCTATCCACTCAGCCACCGTGCCGCCCCGTGTTAGCCTTCTATCATAGGTTTTGTAAAATAATAATTTTTCATGGAGTTTTTTGGGTTCTGTTTGTGGTCGAAAACATATTTGTAAGTTTGCAAGCCACTAAAAATAGGAGTAGTGCTTTTGGGTAGTGTTTTCCAAACCAGCAGCCCTATATGATTTACATGTATTATTATCTTGCAAGTTTTAATTCTATTCATATAGTGAGAGGTTATTGCACGTTATTCATAATTTCAAAGAGATTTTTTCAAGAACATACAACATATAATTAGTTTATTTATTTATCATTTATCCCCTTGAAAAGGAGATGGTTCATTTCATGGGCTATTGTCCGGAATTAACCAGACAGAGACGGATCGAGGTGCGCCAAGCTCTGGAAGTTTATTAGGTTTCTCTCAAGTTCCAGTGGTTTCTGTTGTTTCTTTCTTTCTCTCAGACAGAACAAAAGTCAAGACATGGTTTTATAGTCATTGTTACGTCACACATCGAAAGACAGTACGTGCCAAATCAGAGACACTCAGAGCATATCATAGTCATAACATGGATGCACAATCAGAGTCTCCGTGGTGTCTTATGCTTGTCCTGTACGTAGGCCAAATAGCTATCTAATGCTGATACTATCCTTCAGAGTAAAACATTAAATAAATACTTATTTCCTCACACTGAACCCAGACTATACTCTGCAATAATAATGCTTCTTCATTTTTGTCCAGTTCTGATTCTACTCTTACCTTTTATGATTGTTCCTCAAGATTGCCATTTAGTTCAGCAAAATATCGACAACTCAAGTTAAGTAAATGCAATCACCAGATACAAATAAATGCCACAATTGCAAACCTTGGTATAACGGTGTAGCCTAAAAAGTAGTAGCCCCCACCAGCTCTCAATGTTCAAATTATCTGCCTTTTTTTCTTTCCTCACACACAGTAGAAAACCACTACCTTTTAGATAGTCCGGTCTTGTCTCTTAAACATACATTTTTAAAGCGCAAGTATCTATACCCAAATATTACATTACTTGAAAGCTTAGAAAGAAATAAGTCTACTGGCTTATTCCAGAGAATAAGACAACAAACAGCTTTAGGCTCTGGTCTTCTGAAACCGAACGAGTGTCTGTATGGGCCTGGAGGCAGCTGCGGATTGCCGTGTCCAAGTGTGAAAACCATATCCTGCCTAACCAACGGGATTACGCTGGATTACAACTCTGCACATTCACCTCTGAGGCCGTAGCCAACAGCATCCCCCCAGAGAAACTCCACCACACCTGCAGAGGAGCCTCACTGTCTACTGGCATAGAGAGTAGATTATAGATATTTTACATAGCATTTTGTACATTTAAACATATTCTATTATGATATTCCATGCTATACTTACATACTTACTCTCGATCTCATTAAATGGAAGGCAAGCTCCCGCTATTCAAATGTATTCTTTCAACTTTAAAAACCAAACACTTTTTACACTTTTCGTTTATTGGCAAATGTAATAGGTGCCCTTGATGCTGCCCAACTGATTCTACTTTCCAAACAAGCTCTTGCATGGGATTAGTATGTGGCAGCGATGACAGCGCAGGACATCTCAGGAGCAAAATCTAGCTGCAGAATTTAATGAGGCTGTTCTCACGGACTCGTTTGCCCGGGAGATACAGACCAGCAGAGGTGGGACGAGGGGAGTATGCTCCTCGAGACATGACTATCGATTTACGACACTAAGAGAGAGAGGTCTGCCTTGGAAGTTGCGACCTCAAATCAATGCTGAATTTTTGCGTCTAATGAGACACCTGCATTCTTTTGGCCAGTGAAAGGTCATCAAATAACAGTTATTTTATCTGATTTTTCTTTTATAAATGCACTCACTGTAGCTAAACCCAAAATGAAGATTGATTATTAGTGGAACAAGAGTTTCGGCAAAAGTAACTTTTCCTATTTGCATTCAGCTTACTGCTGGGCAATCTATGTTGGATTCAGGATCAAGACAGAGGTCGCCTAACCTGATTGAATCTGTTTTATTTCAATGTAGTTTAGTTACATGGCTTTAGGTTGTGTTTATAAAGTCGCTTATAATGTAATCTATGAACTTTTTTAACATTGTGTTTTTATTATTGCATTTCTCGTGTTTGAAATGTCCTGAACTGTATTGGCGAATCCAACGGTGTTGTCCTCCGAGATAACTACTATTGTGATTTAGGTCTAATAAATAAGGTTGAATTGAATGAATTTCTCTTGCATTGTATGTATTATGTTTTCCGAAAAACTTAAACCCAGGGTGAGGATGAAATAAAACAGAAAATATTGCTAAAACAAAGCAATGTTTGCTTTAGACATTTGCATCAGATTATACCATTTTTTTCCTGTATACCGCACTGTGTTTTTAGGTAAGGCCCTCCTGGGACCCCCACGGCTCTACCAGGAACTCCAGGAACTGCAGCACGACCTCTCTGTTGTGGAGGAAGTTACTCTTCTAGTGGGGACACTTCAGGGCACATACCAGGTACGTTCTCTCTCGTACCGTCTCAATATACAGTGTAAGGAAGCGCAAATATAAACATTGTGGTTCTGTTTTTCCTTATATTTTTCCAATGATAGCCATTTTAATTATGTATGGGACTTTTAAACTGTTTCAAAAATCCGATAGACAATGTGAACTCACACGAACTAAGATTACAATTAAGAGATTGTTTATTCGTCCTACAGCGGGACACGTGTTGCGTGTGGTGCAATCATTTGAATTCATCAAATGTCCACTATTCTTGACAACCATATTTAATCACCAAAAAGGGAACTTGCATGGAAGTCACATACAGCATTTTGTACACGCTGTATACAACAAAAAAATTATTTTCCTTGTAATCAAATACATGGCTAAAGTCACAGGAGGAAAACGACAACAGACACCTTCCTGTTGTGTTACAATCAGGACACATCTCAGTAGTTTACCCATTATCTTGAATATTCACTGCACAACACAGAAGGGAAGGGGCTCTTCAGAAATCACTAAAGAAGCTCAATGTGAAAACACCTAAAGTACTCTGAGTTCTCAGCTGGAGTGGTGCCTTTTATAACCCTGTGATGAATAAATAAAATAAATAATATACTATAATTTTTCTTATAAAAACAATGACACATTAACTCACTTAATACAAGTTTGCACTTTATAGAATATTTAAATGTATTTGAATTTCAAGTTCACACTGTGGCTGAATACAGATTGCCTTTTTACAGGCCTTGAAAAAGTATTCAAAATCACATTAACTTTTCACACACACAAACACACGCACACACACACACACACACACACACACAGGTTTACAGCTCAACTTTGAAATGTTAAAAGCTTATTTGACCTAAGTGTATTTAAACTGCTCCAACTTCCTGGCCTCTCTGGTCTGTTTCTTGGACGTCATGATGCTGTTTAGTGCATTATCTGCAGCTAGTAGCAAGTTGTTTGTGACGTTAATTGGTGCTGCTATAATGAGCTCTAAAGCTGATTGAAATATATTATTCTGTCGTATTGTTGTAGTGCTATTGCGCTGAGCCAAAGCAATTTCCAAGTCTGTGGCTTCCTGTTACTTACGTGGCAATAAAAATTATTCTGATAATTCTGATAAGCTAGGAAAGTCTTTTAAAGTGAGAGTAAAAGTGATCTGATTGAGGGGGATTTTTAGGCAGGACATTCATATTGGAAACCTCACCATATATTAGAACAATATTCAAGCTGATGAATGTGAGTGAGTTATTTTAGCGATCTTTGTCAAACTTAATGAGGAAAGCTACACTATGACTCCAACAGCTTTTCCCGAATCAGGACAGGTCGTCGATAGTGTCAAGTGAGTGGAAAGTATTGTTGGTTTTAGCATCGATAAGCAAACTGGTGTGTGATATGACTGTGAGGCTGCCTCCACATAGTTCTGGTTGTTTAGTAGTTAACATCCATTTAATTTGACATAGTCATTTTTTTGGACACATGTCTCTGAGAGTACAAGTAAGTGCAGGTCCTTGTCTTTATTAGTTCACTTATTTGGAGGCCTTTTGATGAGAAATATGTGATGTTGAGTCAGCAGCAATTAACAGTCCTATTTGTAGGACTATTATTGTGTGTCAGAATTCTCAGTTAGTTTGTCTGACTCCTGGAATTTTTGAAGTATAATATTATGGAGTTAATGCGAGGTACGCCGACTGTCTCAATCTGTCTTGGTTCTTAGCTCTTGGCTAAGCCCAGTGCAGTCCTGACAGAACTTGACACTGTAGTTGCTGTTGTTGGTGGGTAGTAGGGTATGAATTCTTATATACATGTAATACATTTCTTGTTTTTTGTGTGTAAACTTTGTCAGTATGGAGTATTGCATTTAGATTGATGATACAAATTGTGAATGTTATAAATTTTGCATTGGCTTAAACGATACTAAATGTAGACAAAGGGGTTGAATACTTTCTGAATGAACGTTTATGTGAAAGATGGTTCAAACTACGGTTTCTCCTGGACAAAACAAATTAGACAAGGATACATTTTTACTTGCGATGCAAGGAGCGCCTGCATGGTCACGGCACATCTCTGATTTTGGGTGCTGTTACCAAAATTGTGCACTGAACTCCATTGTGTTACAGGCCTATTTATTTTGACAAAAAACCACACCTACATCATGGTCACATTGTCACTCAAAGATTCCATATGGCCCAAACAATTAGTTTGTTGACGCAGTTCAACCATTTTAGCCTAAATAGTTTTCCAGTCTTATTACACGCTGACAACCCAAAAATTTGCACTTTAGCAAAGTCAATTCACAACCCAAACTTAGTGACATATAGACCTCCATTAACAATACAAACATTAAAGACAACGGTTAGCAAAATGCATTCACCTTTGCATTCACCTTTGCATTCACCTTTGCAGTCACCTTTGCAGTCACCTTTGCAGTCACCTTAACACAGTTAATTTACAGTTAGTTTAAAGACAATGCATTAAATATTCATTAAAATGATATGAATTGAATGAATTCTACTGTCAGTTTGGCAATCTCTAAAAGCAATTGGTTGAATCCAGATTTTTTTTTAAACTTTTATAATACTGTATTTTTTCTAGCTATGGCTTTAAAATGTAATATGTCCTTGTTAAATTTGTGTTTGTTTTCCTCACAGAATCTGAACACCACTGTGGCTCAGGACTGGTGTTTGGCCCTCCAGAGACTTATTCGCATCAAAGAAGAACAGATCCAGTGTGCCAACAAATGCCGCTTGCGCTTGCAGGTGCCCGGCAGGCCAGACAAGTAAGTAATAGATCATGGCCAGCATGCGTCTTAGAGACAATTATAAAACGTCGTATGCAATCTTCATTTGTCTACACACTGAAATGTGTTGCCACCAAAACAAAGCAATGATTTTCCACAGCCTGTTGAAACAGATCAAAAGGTTTATATTAAAGATGGGAGTACCAATCAACCCAAATACCATTCAAAGACAATTCAGAAATAAGAAAAATTAAAACATTTTCACAAGACTTGGACTGTTCTAATCATCTACTGTAATCAAATTAAGTTTCGTTTTCAAGTTTTGTACTGCTTTTAAACATTATCTTGCTGCTGCAATAATAAATACCAACCAGGACATAATCTAATCTAAAGGGTCTAAATCAGGGGTCAGCTCTTTAGTGTCCCATTTGACTCCTGGAGCCTCTTGTATGAAGATGATGTGGGAGGGGTAGGTTTTATTTTTGTTTAATGTGGTTACTGTTGGAGGACAAACATTCTCCAACAGAAACCACATTAGTTTTCCAATGCTGTAAAAATGTGCATAAGAGATATTCAGCATTGACATAGATTTGTGATAGGATTCAGCGAGGCTGTGTGGATGTACTGGTGCAGATAAACAGGCATATGCGACATGGATCAAAGGTAAAAAGAGAATGATCCGATGAGAACCAAGTATTCAAGGAAGAATGGACCTAATTATTTGCTTTCATTGCCAATGAGGAATGACTGGTACCCGTTTTCTTTGCAATAATTATTTGTCTGACAAAAAAGTAATTTGGAATGGATTTTTCAGGGATGGCATGTTCAATTTGCTGCTCACAGTTGGGAGTGAGAGGAAAAGTGCAATTGCAGTTCTTCTAGAGTGGATTAATCTGCAAAGTTTTGTTGCAACCCAAGAAATAATAAAGCGCAAAAAACAGATTGTGAATTACATGAAGAATTCATTCATCAAAATATCAGAGCAACTATTTTCAATAAAACCAACTTCAAAAACCGAGATAATTCAGAAAATTAAAGCGTCTCTCCGCAAAGACGGTGAAAGGAAGGGCCATGAAAACGGGAGACGACATCACCGATCAGCAAATCAAAGACATTCATTCAGCTTCAGCTTACTCCAGCCGGTGATGAGGCAGACAGTGCTGTTGTGTAGGTACGTGAGAAATCAGATTTCATTACTATATTTCTGCAATATCATCAACGCAACAAAAGGGAAGTTAAACTTTAAGCACCAAACATTGTAAATCAGAGTAGTCATGTGGTGCTTCATTCTCTCCAGTGAATGAAGTATTTGTAGGCTATACTTTTTGATAGTAGGCTAATATAGATAATACACAGAACCTGTGTTATAAAAGCCTTATATAAGGCTGCTACTTTTTTGTGCCTCCAGTCTCCAGTCCAGTACCATCTGCTGGTGTACTGCTAGAACAACCACATTACACTTACGAATCTTTTTGACACACGCTAAGCGGCAGAGGTGTGTCAAAAAGATATTCGTGTGTAAAACGGAGCCTGTGCGTAGCACTTAGGCTTTTTCCGTTCTTCTCTTCGTACAACGTGGTTATTTACACACAGATTGTTCTGCTACAGATACAAATGTCAAATTACACACACACAAATCTGGGTACAGACGCACACAGTCCAAGTTACACTTGCGAATCTGCGAAGGCAGGACTGCGTCAAAAGATTTGTGTGTAAAACTTTTTTTTTTTTACACACACACATATCTTTTTACGCACACACAAATCTTGATACGTACATACAAATCTGGTTACGCACGCACAAATCTTTTTACGTACACACAAATCTGGTTACGCACACACAAATCTGGTTACGCACGCACACATCTTTTTACGCACACACAAATATGTTTACGCACACACAAATATTATTGAAACAATAATAGCGCCATACGCATCTAGCTAGGAGGATATAGACTCGTCTCTGATTGGCCGAGAGCGGACCAGGGCCTGCCTTCCCAGGGGTCAAGAACTGCATAGCATATTGAATTAAGTTGCACTCAAACCATGTGGCAATGCAATATGCAATGCAATCCAGAGGGAGGTGCTGTTTCACAACACATTAAATGAAACTTAACATACTCAAATGTGGAATACAAGTCAAAATAGGATATAACATGCAATTTTGCCAAATACAACTCTAAACTAAATGCCATGTTAAGAATGAATAGAACAATGAACAAAGAGGCCAAATTAACCATGGCAATATGCTATCCATTTCAAAATCGTGTAATTTGAAATATGTAAAGATATTTCATTGACATTTTACACATCGAATTGCCATTAGAACTTTTGGAATAGAACATTACAAGTCAAAATAGGATATAACATTACACTTTGACAAATACAAATACAAAATAAATACTAAAATAACAATGCATAGCCATTTGACAAATGAATAGACAATTGAATTAAGGTGCCAATAGTCTTTCATATATATTGGTCATAAATATACAATATGCCAATTTATGGCATAAATAAAAGAAAAAATACACTATTTCATGATAAATGGAATAGAGATGCGTAATGTAGCCATATATTAAGTATTGATACCAATAAAAAAAAAAAATCGATATTGATACTTGGCAAATGCATATCGATAATCAAATCGCGGGAGAAAGTATCGCCACACCCCTACTTTTACATCATTATGTAACAAAACAGAAACTAAGGAAAGTTGCTAAATATATGTAAGAGAAATCAGCATATAGAATGCAAATGTGACCTGTTGTGTGTCAACAATTTAATGTCTAAATTGCCTACTTAGACAAGATGTCAAGAGATGAGAATATGATTAGCTTCAGCATGGGAGCAGTAAATAATGCCACATCATAAGGTTCGCGCTCAGTGCCTTACATAAGAGTCACAGGAGGACAGAATGAGCTTGACTGAGATGCATTAGGCCTGCTTCAGACAGTCTGGGGGAGAGGAAGAAAGGCAGCTAGAGTGATGATCAACCTCTCCCATGAAAGGTTTGGCTCGGTGCCGACAGGGCAGTGGCAGTCGTAGCAGAGGCCCTCAGCTCCAGAGCCAGTGAGAGTCTGAATGTGCCAAGCCAAGCTAAAGTGACAGCTTGAGCAGGAGGAGCTGTGCACATCACTTCTCCCACATCGCCGTGCTTCCACGTCGGCTGTCACGTCGGGCCTGCGGGGCCAATCTGCTTACTCAGATGTTTGGTGCAGCCAGATGTCACACTTACAAGAGAGTCCCCCGAAATCCCCCTCTTTTATGGGACACCCTATTTATGGAGGTTCTGTGATAATGTCATTAGCAATTGTATAAAAGGAGGTCTTCCACGGCTGTGTTGGGGTTTTCAAAGCTTCACTAAACTAGATCAAGATCTGTGTTGAAACTTCATGAAGTTTGGGTTGAGAAGTAAAAAAATGGCAAAGTCAAGTGAAAGAGAGAAATCTCCTGTAGGGAAAAAGGCAATCCTGGGACTGTGATAGGAATCTAATTGGGACTGGGCCTCGGAGTTGGGTGGCTGGACCTGCTCTGCTCCTCGGGGCTGGGGTGACAGGTGCACGGTGGGAGCCTTAACCTGTCTTTCAGCAAGTCTCTTCAATTCAAAACTACAAATGCAAATATTATACTTGCCTCTTATTATCTAATAATCCTAATTTATCTTTCAAACTCACTGTATAGTACATTGTAAAGAACTTGCTAAAATTGCTATTCACAAAAACCCTGGCTCCAATATACCACAATGTATTTACTGCAAAAAGTGACACAAAATAAGAAATTGACTGTATTTGGGAAAACTTTAATCAAGATTTGAATTTGACCATTTATTACCATTTTTGTTGACGGAAAAAAATGCACTATATAAAAGGCTGAATATAGTGGCACTTTATATGACTCCTTAACAAGTGTCTTATGGATTCCAAGGAGACTGGTTTTACTAATAATTCAAATGCATGCAACGATCTCTTGCATAATTATCATTTCTACTGACAAATTGTATATGAATCATCTTTTAAGCAGTCCTTTAATATTGAGTTACTTGAGCTAAAACGACCAGTGCAATTCCTCTAGTAACTGAAAACATTTCTCCACCTTAACTGGCCTTTTTCCCTTTTACACGTTTCCCTCGCTTCCATTCCAACCATCAAACGTATACTGTACACCTCCACAGAATCATTTCCATTACTCCTTTGACACAACTACACAGAGTATCAAGAAGCACCCACTCAGCCAGGGCTCTGCTGGAGAACGAGCAGGGCCGCAGCGGGGACCCCCTGTACCGATCGGACTCCTCCTATCTGGCCATAAGCAACGCTCACTGCAGCACATCACAAGCTCCGCAGTGCAAACAGACCTGGAACGTGCGGCGAATCCTGACTGCCGCCTCAAAGCCACTGCCTACGTGTGACAGCACTTCATTAACATCCTCCTTTTTACTGCAACTATAGGGACTGTAGGTTGATGCCATTCAGCCAGAGTAGGAGACAGAATTTCAACAGTTAAACCAAACCCGTTTCTTTGTCTCATATGTCTTCTTTCCGACAGCCGGCCCAAGAGGACAGTAAAGCCTCTTTTTGTTCCCTAGCGCTTATCGACTATGCTGCCTACCTGCTTGGATAATGGCAGATCACAGAAAGCTCCATTTTGAGGTTGTTCTGGTGAAGGGTCTTGTCCAAATAGATAATTCCTAAAGAGGCACAGGAGAGACTGGTTGAGCTTATCTTAGCATCTGAACAACAGCAGGATTTTCCCGTACTATGACGGCTCTCTATACAAGCTGCAGCATCAAACACAATCTCAGCAAATTCTTCTTAAATGGCACGCTACTTGTTATCAACTCTGAGGTTAATTCAACTGTCAGATTACTGACACTTTCTTTTAAATGTTTTGTGAGTCTGTGAAAAGGCCTCTTTCTGATCCATGATCCTCAGAAGTATACTGAAGAATATTCTTTCTAATTCTTTCAGTATCTTTGGAAATGCTTTAGTCTATTTAAAATAATAATTGTAACTACTATTTAATAATCATATTGTTGTT